GTTGTCACGCCGCTGAATTCAACGTACAACGGTTTCCTTACCTTTGTTTCTGGAAAATCTTCTTCATTCCCACAACCTGCATGGGAATCTTCTGCGATGTGGAGCCCGCAGAAGACGTGTACTCCTGAGGGAGTTCTCCCATGTCGTCCTCGAGCTGTGCGTACTTGTCCCGCACAGCCGATAAAAACGGCACCCCCAGGTCTGCCTTCTTGGGCCGGATGAAGGAGCCCCCCGTCGGGTGTCTGCGAATGATGCACAAGATAACTGTGTGCAGAAGCGTTCAGTCACCTCTGTTTGCTCTATGAACATCTCAACAAACCTGCATGTTTTGTGGCAAACATTCCTAATCCCCATTGCTCTAATTGACACCATCAAAATGCACCTTGCAGTCTTTCAATTGCACCCCGTCTTCTCCATTAGACCACATTTGTTTACATGATAGAAACCAAAATTCAAACGATTTAACAAAAATAGTCATGCAAACCAAGGTGAAATAAATTTCTCAAAGTGTTGCAAATTCTAACTCACCTCAATGAGGTTCTTGGTATTATAAAAATGTTGGTCAATAGCGATGTTTTATTCTCGTGTACAGCGGGGCACATGAGTGTTGAGCAATGCTGTGATGAATAACTGTGGTGTGGGACTGGGTCTTTCCTCACTGGCAGTGGAAGTAACGAACGCCGCCGTGGCTCCCGTCATGTTTGCCGCGTTCCGGGTTGTCCCACTCCACACCAAACCACAGTCCTGTCCAGCAGCCAATACCAAAGCTCATGAAACATAATTTTCAACCAGCACATGAGAGTATCAATTCATAAACCATCGCAATACTAGCGCATCTCGAGGTGCTATATAAAAATGTGGGGAAAAACCATAGGGGCAACATTACGGCATGTTCCGGGGCACGAAAAGGTCTGGGCAGAAGCCAGACCCACGTAGTTAGAACAGGCTGTTGACTGTGCAGGCAGTGTAGCTGCACTAAAGGCCCAGTGACCAGATGGGCCTCAGGCAGCAGGTTACAAAGAGGGGTGAAATTGGACAGGGAGCCCCAGGGCCAGCGGCGATATTACACAAAATCTGCCTCAATATAAACAGCTTTGTACATACCGCCTGTATGCAAAGTCATGCTCAGCTGTATGTTTAGAAGCTACAGGAGTCACCCAGTACACATCACTCACATACGGTCCACGGTTCATATTTGGCACTGCAGGGGGGGGTTAGTGGAGGCCTGGTGTGGTGAAATCTTCTTTAATGAGGGCTGAAAAGGACTTTCAAATACCTTTGGTGGACCACACATTTACACCTAAGCATCATTAAAAACTGCAACAAAGTAAAACATTATTAGGGCTTGCATTTACGGAGCATGCTAACATAAGAAGCACATTGTTACTAGGTCAAAAATATTCCCACCGAGTACCCCATTAGTGTGGATTCTTGCAGTGACTGATATAATTATTGTCTGCGGGCTGGATATGAAGTGGTAGATGTAATTGATCCGCGAGCCTTATAAAATTAAGTTGCGGGCTGTGGGTTTCCCTGGGCTAGCGGTAGTGGTATGAGAGATGAAATCCGGGTCGATGGGTCAGGACTACGATCAGGGACGCGTACGGGCTTGAGACGGGAGATGTCAAAAAGGGGTCTTTACCCTGTGTCGGAGGCACCTCGCCTACGAAGCGCACCCTGCCACACTCTCCATCGCTGAGCACTCGCCTCCCAAGCACATCTTCAGGCACCTCGTCCATCGCCCTGGAATGACAGCAGATGTGGATCGTCTTGGGAGTTCTTAGATTGTGACCAAAGCACCTTCCAGAATGCCCCTGATCTCGTCAAGATCTCTGGGTTGTTTTAAGATTGCTCCCAGGATGCACGCAATGGTTCCTCGGCAGGGTGGTGCAGCAAAATCTATTGCTGTCCTGTGCTCATGTGCATCTATTGTTAAAATTCCGTCAGTTCCTATGATTGCTTTTTCATTGCCTTCATGGCTTTATTTTGGTGATTTCGAAAAGTGTATTGGTTTAGCCATGTTTGTGTTGTTGTAGTACAGAGTTAGACTGATGGCCTTAATCTAAGTTGTCTTGTGGTTGTTGTTGTTGTTTGACTTGCATCCCACTGGGATTTTTGCACACAGCGTTGGTGTACGGTGTTTTTTCTGCAATATTTTTGCTGTCTTTTCTTGGATTTTCTCTTTGCACTTAGTCACATATTCACTTTAAGATGTTTTTTTTGTTCATGTTTTTGTTTTTTGTTTGTTGCGGTTGCACCCGATTCAAGAGCTGAATGGCTCACAGGGCTATACCTAATAAATGAACTTGAACTTGAATCTATGCTCCCCACCTGCGACAATTTGACATTGACCAGCGTGGCCAAGTATGGTCGTCACCCCCAATGACCTAACACACACTGTATGGGGAATAATTTCATCCAGAAGTGGAAATGACAGAGGGATATGATGGGAGCAGTATGGTTAAGCATGCCTTGTGAATCCCAGCGTCGAGACTGGACATCTGTGAAAAAGAGCTTCATAGCTCATCGGATTCCTCCTGCAGTCTAAATAAAGATTCTGATTCTGTATTCTCATTTGCACAAGGATGCGCGTCCCACTGTTGTGTGGGTGTCTGCTCTGTGAGTCACTGAAAGACAGGTCAGGTACACGAGGCAGCATCATCATCATCATAACCCACGATCAATCCACTGCTGGATGAAGGCCTCCTCCATCAGCCATCGCAGTGTCTCTTGAAGGGCCTTTTAAATAACAATAAACTTGTGAGACCATGGCATCATCATCATCATCAACAACATCATCAATCGCGATTTGTTACGCAATTCAAACAATATTACACGCGAAAACACTGTATGGATATCAGTCGTTAAGTGTATGTGTCTGAGCTATACGATGACTGTACACGTTAACAACTGTTAGCAATACAATAAATAATAATTGTGCTGCCCGACTGCCAATCTACTGCTGGTTGAAGGCCTCGACCGCGCGATGTCAACTCAAGCGGGGGGGGGGGGGGGGGGGGGGTCGTTCGACCATACTTCACCACGCTGGTCACGGAGCGCGTTGGCCAAGGCGACTGCGAATGTTATCACGAACAAAAACAATTAACTTGTAACGCGAAATGTGAACAGCGGTAGGCGGGGGGCAACGCCGCCTTATACGAATACCGAGACGGTGCCTTGCGTGTGACACAATTATAGAGAAATATGATGCGACGTTAATGAATAGTTGTAATTACAAGCGCGATAATGTGACGTTGTGTAATGTAACGGTGTGTAAAGTAACGTTTTGTAATGTGACGTTATGTAATTTTAACTTACAATGCTGAGCCCGCGAGAGTCGTCGGTGGTTCCGGTCACGGTTTCCACCCGGAAGATGCGACGGGCGTGAGGTGAATAGCATAGACCGCATAGGCAGTATCGGCGCGTGGGAGCGTTTGCATTTCATAGAGCGGAACGATCTTTTGATTTAAAGCTTTCGTTGACTGCAGGGATTCATATTCTTGGTTCTTTCGGTAAAGTCACGTGGAAGGGAAATAATAAAATAAGATAAATATAAAAAAATTTTATATGTATATAAAATAAAACAATATTTTTTTTAATAAATAATAAAATAAGATTACTATAAAACAATAAGTTTTTTTATTGTTTTAGATTTATATAAAATAAAACAATACATTTTTATATTTTTTATATTTATCTTCTTTTATTATTTCCCTTCTACGTGACTTTACCGAAAGAACCAAGAATACGGAACGACCTTCCTTCCGATATGGAGCTGTGCGCTTGCGATTACATCAATAGATAACCCAGATTGAGAACTTGGTTATTTAGAACTGCTGCTTTGTCTTTAGTTTGTGCTGCCGATTATTGCAAGTTGGCTACGTACGGCGCGAAAGAAGTTCAAATAACTATTGCAGGCCCTGGTGCCGGGTCACATTTTTATTTTATTTTGTTACCCAAAAGCTGCCACTGGGGGGTGCCCGCGATGAGATGTCAACTACCTCGCCGGGCATGCAGGAGGTCGTGGGTTCGATCCCTAAATTATTTTGTCAGTTTTCAGTTTAATTTATTTGGTATTGCCCTGTGGGCCATTCGGCTCTCGAATCGGGTGCAACCGCAACAACAAACAAAAGATAAAAACATGAACAAGAAAACATCTTAAAGTGAACATGTGTCATTTTGCACGTCTCATCTCCCCGTGGATTTTTCGCCGGGTCATCCAGGATTTTCCCCTTCGCGTTTAGAATCAAGGTCACGCACGAGTTTGAACATTTATTTTTTGGCCTCTTCGCCGAGCTATCGTTTGTTGGTGTATAAATTCGTGTTTAGTCTAAATATCCGAGATCAGCATGTACAAGGCATACCTGTCAACCCCTTATCAGTGCCTAATTACAGACCAATTCAGACCTTATTGGTCACCCCATGCCCTTTTTAAATCTAAAGTTCATCCGACAAAGTCCCATCACAAGGGAGAAACACAAAGACATTTTTTGCCCGTAAACTCAATTTCCCTGTACAATACGGGTACACCGTATGGGTTGACAGGTATGTTATATGAACATGTATGTTTCCCGCACGTCCGATTAGCACGTACGGTGCAAAAGAAGTTCAACGTGCAAGCAGTCTTCAACTTACGAACAATAGACTTCCTAACGGGTCCCAGGAACGAATTCGTAAACCGAGGACTGCCAGTACATAAATGTAACACCTCTTGTGTCTGCAGGAGTCATGCAAACCAATTAAAGTGTACATAAGCATTATAACACTCCTAGATGCGGTTGTTTGACCATACTTCACCACACTGAAGGGTGTGGGTTGGTAGAGGGGGGCAGAGCCGATTCAGATCCCATTAATCATTGAGGTTAGGCATGGCTGAGAATCAAATTACCTCCATACAATAGACGCATTGAAAATAAACAATTCCATAAAATAACTTATAACCGCAAGATGTGACAATGCTTCCAATAACTGTAAATATCCATACAGGTCATTCCAAAGGGTACACACAATGCATTGAGGCTTTATTTGCAAACAAAGATACACAAGTGAAAACAAAATCACGAACATTTGTGTACATTGCATTTATCACGTTGTATTTCAAAGCGTTTATTTAACTATGTTTGGCATTCAATACAAAAAAAGTCGTGTTCCGTGTAGAAAAGTTGCACAAGTACACCATTACACTCCAACACTAAAACGTAATTAAATGAAATATTGCAAAGTTAAACCATACATTTTTCAGTGTAAACAATTGTAAAAAATTCCAAATGTAATTGTTGCGGTATTGACTGAATCACAAACGCCTGTGTGTTTTCATAATTTGCACACAAGGTGTGCACTTAACACTTATTTATGTAAGTGTTACATTTACGAGTGTACCAACTCTTTCCATTTCACTTAAAAATGAGGCGTACTGCATCAAACTGGGGTATGTTTTCATCAGCAACGTTTAGGAACTAGTTCTGGATACAGCAGTCTTAAGTGGTTTTATGAGACTTCTCCAGGCAATGGTGAATCTCATATTAGTATGTGTCAACTCAGACAAATGCAAATTAAAGTCTGGCAAATGCAAGCATCCTGCGCGTGTATAAAATCAGTCGTGACAATCTGATATATCATACACCCCATGCAAAATAATGCAGTGTTCTTCTTTAGATGTTACGTTTTATCTTTTAGAATGGCGAGACTATCCTTCTGTTCCCGTTTTGCAATTACGTCTACTCATACAAGATGGATATTAAGGAAATTTGCTGCACTTCCTCTTAATGTAACACTGATGAAAGGTGCAATTAACATTTGGCTTCCGTGTCACCATTACATTAAAATTGATTTTGCTCAATAATTGTATCGACGTGTGGAGTGGCAGCGCCGCAGTTTGTGGCGTTGCACTATGAACCTGTGAACCCATTTTCAATTCCCAGCCTTGGCTCCAATCAGTTATTTTTGTAACTAGTCCTAGGCTTCCTCTTCATCAAGCGACTGACCAGCATAGCAAAGTATCGTCAAACAAACCCCATGATTGATGTGGTGTGGGTCTACCTGCATGCAGCAGTGAATTAACAGGTTGGAATTGTATTCATCATTTAGTCGATTGCATTGTCAATTGTGCGTCTCTACTTTTTCAACTTACATTTTATATTTCAGAAACATCTACTCATACAATGCCCTGAAGTACTAAAAAAGAGCATGGTCAGAGCACCAAAGGGCAGAAACACCACTGGCATTCGAATAACGTTACCCTCCATCCGTGTTCTGTCCAAGTGCATTCCGCACGATTGCGTGTACTACTGCAATAGCTCGCACAGTGCTGCTTCTTCAGCGATAGCCTTGCGCCACGAGAATGGACGCGAACACCACATGCACTGAATGTACAATACCAAGGAGTTAGTGCAGCGTTCCCTACTCCTGTGCATTTGGTTCCTGCTGAAAAATCTCCGCAAGGTGTTTGACCAGCGCCTCCAGGAGTGGATTTCCACCCAGCTCGGCAATCTGCTTGTACGCTTGCTTCTCCAGCTGCAACAAAGTCTGCCTCGTGTACTCGAAGGAGCCCAAGCGTTCCAGATGCTCGACACAGTACCGCTTGACGTCGATGTCTTCTGTCCGCTTTCGCAGGATGCTCAGCACCTGTCGGTGACGGAGACAATTGCAGGGTCAGGCTTGTGAAGGCTGAAAAAGTAGGAAGACTAACCATCAAGACGGGAGATGCAAGCAGAAAAACGAGTAGCTCATGTACATGGCGAGTACACATCCAACGTTTAAATTAGGACATTTACCATCTATTCAATTCAATATTTGGGAAATGTTTCCAAAGAGACACAAGTAAGACCCTCAATTACCTGTGTGCAATTAGGTTCCGATTGTATGGCGTGGATGAGCGGAAAGGAAAACTTTCCCTCAGTCAGGTCCTCGCAGTAACTTTTGTTCTCCATGTACTTTTGCGAGCGCAGGTTGGCGTAGTCATCCCGAATTTGGAAGAGCATCCCCAGCGTGTCAAGTATTGGCCGCAGGTTGGCTTTGTTCTCGCTGAACAGCTGCATAAGCCCCACCGCAAGTCCAAACAGACCGCCCGTCTTGCGCAGAACCTACCAGGACAGAGAAACGCGTTCAGCATGTCAGGCAACCTGCACTAATGCTCTTATCACGGCACTCTTCTAAAAGGAAGATGCGGCTAAAAAAATATCAGCTCTTATTTTGTGGATACAAAGCAAGGATGTCAAACAGGAGTTTTAACTTTTGTTAATGAGAAAAAGAAATACGATAAAATATAGGCAAGCACGCCATTATGGCATTCTAGTGACATCACCCCAATAAGTGTTAATGATACATAATAACAAATGTCTAACAATGGACAATCCAGGATGCAGATCCCATATATCTACATAATACTAAAGACATGCTGTCGATTCTCTCTGGTTGGTGATTTTAGAAAAGTTTTTTGGTTTGGCCATGTTTGTTTGTTGTAGTACAGAGTTAGACTGATGGCCTTAATGTAAGTTGTCTTGTGGTTGTTGTTGTTTGACTTGCATCCCACTGGGATATTTGCACAGGGTTGGTGTATGGTGATTTTTCTGTAATATTTTGCTGTCTTTTCCTGGATTTTCTGTTTGCACATAGTCACTTTAAGATGTTTTCTTGTTCATGTTTTTGTTTTTTGTTTGTTGCGGTTGCACCCGATTCAAGAGCCAAATGGCTCACAGGGCTATATCTAATAAATGAACTTTGAACTTGAACTTTGAAGTCCTCTCGATCTTCCTTTTTATATTTGCCTATGACTTTCTCTCTACGATGTAAATGTTCAGTTTGTGCGCAGCATCTTGTGATTCACTTGCATTAAGATGCTATGGTGATCCAAATTGTATAAGAAGTTAATTATTTTTAGTCAGTGGGGGAAGGTTTGTATTCCTACATAAAAAAACTATTCTTGTACCGTAAAATAACAACCGGAAGACACAGAAACACAAGCCATGCTACACAGGCGTGAGTGTGATGCCCAAGGCAACTTCACCATGCGGATGTAGTCCTCCTCGCTGGGGCAGGTGTAAGAGTCACGCCAGTAGATGTCCATGCCCTGGCCGCGGTGCAGCTCCAGCAGCTGGTTGGTGAACAGGGCGACGGCGTCAGCGTGGCCGAGCGTCAGCACCTTCTCCAAGGCCGAGGAAGTAAACGTAGTTGGCGGAGTTGATGACAGAGGGAATGCCGTAGATGCTGTGCGCCACGGGCAGGCCGCGCCGCAGCTTCGAGTTGTCCTCGATGTCGTCCACCAACAAACTCGCATTGTGCAGCATTTGCGTCACCTCCATTATAATCTGCGGCGGATGGGCGACGTGAACATGGACGCACTGCAAAAGTATGTTATAACAGCGGACATGTAAAGATTCACTTGTGGATTTTTGAGGATGTGCTGTATGGCTCTCTGATGTATTTTCAGTTTGTACCGCATGCGTTGTTTGGCACGATGTCCGATGTTTTGAATTCAGTTGCCTGAAGATACTCCCAGCACTGTGCAGCCAAATGTGAGACATCGTGTCGAACAACACGCGGTACACAACCCAAAAACAAATCACGGAGCTGTGTAAATATTCACCCCTCGAGGGATCAGATGAATTGTCACAATATGGCAGTTACAATCTCATTTGTACTGCGTGGCTCGTGTCTCATTTGTGCTGTGTTGTGTATTCTATCTCATTTGTACAGACTCCTTCCTTACATCTAATCTTCTGTCTCAGTTGTATATTTTTTTGGACTGTCTGCTTTCTCATTTGTATCGTCTACCCCATAAATTCTCTCATGTTGTCTTGTTTGTTCAGTTTATCCTGTACGTTTTTTTATTTGTGCTGTCTGTATTTTGTGCCATATGATTTGCTCATTATCTTGTAGATACCATTATTCTAAATGTATATTAGCACACATTTGCATAAATCCTGAATAATCAACTCTTAAGCCCATGATTTAAAACATTTATTTGGAGAGTAAGAATTAATGTCAATTGCAGAATTGATGTATCTTTACATGTTTAGTAGACAATATTTGCCAAACTGATAGCGAATAGAATGAAATACAAAAATGCATTGAGAATGCAATATAGTAATAGAATGGTGGTGGTGTAAGGATTATCAGTGGGGTGGAGCAGTGGCACAAGAGTTAGCAAACTGTGCTATGAACCCAGCAATCAGTTTTATTCCTGGCCCCGGCTGATATTAGTGGTGAGTGATAGCTAACTGGCCCTAGTCCTAGATACCACCTTCACCAACCCATACTGACCAACATGGCAGAGTATGGTGAAACATCCCCTTGAAAAAAAAGACTTGGGGAGGCCTTCATCCTGCATTTATATAGGCCTGTATGACAAACGACTATCATACTGTGGTTATTTAACTCTTAAAAATGTAACAGACATTGATGTGTCTGCCTACCAGCTGTATCAATACATACATGGACTTTAGACTAATAATTTGTAAGACTGATAGGTATGTTTCCGTGGTGACATTTTCCACCTGTAATTTGTCTTCAGGGATGTGTAGCCAATAGTTGAAAGCCTTTGAGAGCTTGGTCCTTATTTGCGCACCTGTATAAATGCAGCACATTGTACAATCCCATGCCAACATTCGTTGACAGTACAAGACAGTAATTGTAAAAGTATTATTATATGGTCAATAAACCCCAACAATCCATATGGCACTCATCCAGCAGTGGACTAATACATGGCTGTACATTTACATTCAAGATCAAGATGTAATCATGGCCAAAGAGGGTGATGATACTGCACCATTTCAATGCGTTATACCCTCCGCCAAATCCTACAGCTGCTGCACAGTAGAACTGTGAGTTTAATTATTCAAGTGTGGCAACTTAAACTTTCTCCTCCATGTGAGAAATAACATTACCAACTCAACTTCACTCACAGTGACATTAAATGAGCCCTTCCTCTCTCCATTACCAGTTCACTGGTTTGCCATAGTCTGACTATGCATTTCCAGATTTGTTAACGTGAAACCCAGAAATGCCTTCAGGACCAACCTGGCAATTGAAGCAAGTAGTTGTACGGCTCCATGAGGATTCTCTCTGTTTGATCTTCCTTTACGCTCTCCGCCATGCTGTCACGTCAGAGACTTAGTTGTGTCCCAACTGCAAGTACTGTAAGTACCAAAGGTTCAAAGCAAATAAAACGCAAGAATAACAGTACTTGTTTACAGGTGAGGAGTAAACAATTGTAAAACATATTCCAGTCCTACCACCTAAACTAATGAAATAGTTAACCAGCACTGAGCACTATTCAAACCTCTAAACCCACTTTGTCAGGTCCCTTTTTCACATCTTTGTTATACATCATCCCCCCCCATTTGTGCTGATGCCAACTTTATAATTGTGGCGTTGTTTATGTGACAAACATTACTGGCTGTCGGGTGGAGGGTTACGACGCATTTATACTTACGCGAACTAAACCAAAAACCTTTATTATAAATATACAGATTGTACTGAAGATTTAAATCACTGACCACCACTAAAATAATGCCCTATACAAGTTCGATTCATGGACATGGTTAAGATCCGTGGCAAGTTGATGCTTCAACTGAACGTCAGCATCCAGAAACCAGAACAAAGAATTCATACTCTTAGGTTTTTCGGTAAAGTCATAATAATTATTTTATTTCTATTATTATTTATTATTTATTTTTTACCTACGTGACTTTACCGAAAAACCTAAGAGTATGAATCCTTGCAGTCACGAAAGCTTCAAATCTAGAACAGAACAAAGAAGGCAGCATGAATTGAACATCTGAGCACATGATGGTTTGTGGTTTACGTGAACTTTAAGCAATTCATATTCAAAAGTATTGAGGTTAAACCATTCAACTTTTCCTGGAATAATATACCTATGAATACAGCACAATAACGGCGAGAGCAGTGGTGCAATAACAGTTAACTTCCCAATGAGAACAGCCACCTAAGTTTGACTCCAATGCGGCACGATGCCAACCACCGACCACCAACAAACCCGCATTGACCAGTGGGCATATCTATGGGACACTTTTTACCCGTATCAAAGTGATACACAAAGTAAGAATAGACTTTACCCTTTCTGGCAAATTGTCAAAGTATTTTCTTATTGTTGCATTTACTTTGATCGTGACCACCACAGCCACACGGCTCTTTAAGGGACTGCCTCGTGACAGCTACTTATTAAACTAGATTTGATGCTTTCGTGACTGCAAGGATTCATACTCTTAGGTTTTTTTTCGGTAAAGTCACGTAGGTCGTGATTTAATTTAGTTATTTTCATTTATTATCATTTTATTTTATTAGAATAATTTTTTTTTACCGAAAAAACCTGAGAGTACTTATTAAACGTTGATTTTTTTTAATTTACCGAATCCGAAAACAAAAACCGGCTCTTCTTGTTGGTTATTTCTGCTTGATAATGACGAGTGACATCGCACCGCATACACCTCCAAGACATTCGCTCTCATCACGCCGCAACCCAGACCACCACCTCAGCCGGGTAAAGGGACGTTTATAAATGACCTTACCCCCCGAACGACCGCGTCCTCCCGCCTTGTGAACAACAACAACAGCTGAGATCGTCTCACAACAAAACGCGACTGTCGGCAACGAGTCCATTCACAATACCGGCATCGAATTCCATACAACGCATAGGCAGAGTCCCCCCACCCCCCATCCCCTGCCCGCGACTCCGATTGGACCAGAGCCGGCCACGTGGTGCGTCCGGCAAAATAAATTTGCACCAATGAGGGTGGCCGAGCTGCTTATGCGTGTTGGGAAATGCAACACGATTGCCGGAACAACAAAACAGCAACAACAACCCTCTAGCGGCGACCGGGGGTTGTTGTTGTTGTTGTTGACTCCGGGGAGGTTCTTCTTATTCCTCCTCCGAAAGACATCGCCGCCAGTTACAATGTTACCCACGGACGTTTTCTAGAGCTCCATGGGGTGTTTGTGTGTGTGTGTGCGTTAGCTACGGGGTTATTAACTCGCATACGTTCACGCGGGGTTCCCCGTTGCGCGAGACGACACCTCGTGTACCCACCAACACCCATCACCACCATCACCTCCACCACCCACCAACACCACCAACAACACCACCACCACCCATCATCACCAACCAACACCACCACCCATCAACAACCACCCACCATCAACAACCACCAACCAACACCACCACCACCACCCACCACCACCAACACCCATCAACAACCACCCACCATCAACAACCACCAACCAACACCACCACCCACCACCCACCACCACCAACACCCATCAACAACCACCCACCATCAACAACCACCAACCAACACCACCCATCAGCAACCACCCACCACAAACCAACACCACCCATCAACAACCACCCACCATCAACAACCACCAACCAACACCACCCATCAACAACCACCCACCACAAACCAACACCATCCATCAACAACCACCCACCATCAACAACCACCAACCAACACCACCCATCAACAACCACCCACCACAAACCAACACCATCCATCAACAACCACCCACCATCAACAACCACCAACCAACACCACCCATCAACAACCACCCACCATCAACAACCACCAACCAACACCACCCATCAACAACCACCCACCATCAACAACCACCAACCAACACCACCCATCAACAACCACCCACCACAAACCAACACCACCCATCAACAACCACCCACCATCAACAACCACCAACCAACACCACCCATCAACAACCACCCACCACCACCCCGCTTCAGATCACTCGGCGATGTTCAAACTCACTGCGGATTATTTTTCTTTTTGAGTTTCAAAATTTGAGTATACGACAACAACAACAGAGTGAGTTAAATAAAAGCGTGTAAGTAATAATAAACACTTATCACCTCGCTCCTCAACAACGCCCCACGTGGCCTGAAATACCAGTTAACACAAAGTCGTCACGTAGAAGTTTGTGGGGAGTTGGCGACCACTTTACATGCGGTAAATATTTTGGGGCATGACACAAAAAAAATATGAATTTTTTTTCCCGATCGTGTAGAGGTTGGTTTTAATTCGCACGAATGGAAGTTACACGTTTAAAGCCTAATGAGGGGAAATAATAAATGAAATTTCTGGAAATGGGCCACGTGTTTGTCCTGAGGAATCATTGCCCGAAACGTCGCCCATGACTATCCTCAATATGCCCCCTCCCTTTAAAGCCACACGCATGCACGGTGTGGTGATACTGTATGTGAGGAACTGTGTGCTTTCAACACAGTACCGTATCTCAATACAGTACTGTCAATGCAGTACTCTATATCAGCTCAGTACTGTTAGTTTTGTTAGCCTTACCCAAGATGGCGGCGCCGGCTTCCGGCGAGCGTCACGTGGCGGGCGGGGCTCCACCAGGAAGTGGCGGCGGCGTGAGGTGGGGTGGGCGTGGCTTGGTGGGGGTAGTAGGGGCGGGGCGGGTGGTAAAGGGGGCGGGGTGGGGGGTAAAGGGGCGTGGTCTGGGGGTAGAGGGGCGTGGTCTGGGGACAGAGGGGCGTGGTCTGGGGGCAGAGGGGCGTGGTCTGGGGGCGGAGGGGCGTGGTCTGGGGGCAGAGGGGCGTGGTCTGGGGGCAGAGGGGCGTGGTCTGGGGGTAGAGGGGCGTGGTCTGGGGGCAGAGGGGCGTGGTCTGGGGGCGGAGAGGCGTGGTCTGGGGGCGGAGGGGCGTGGTCTGGGGGCGGATGGGCGTGGTCTGGGGGGCATAGGGGCGTGGTCTGGGGGGTGACGTCACGCGCGTGGTGTTGTCATCACGCCGTTGTTAGTTACTGGGAGCCGCCGTGGCCCCGCGGCCTCCCCTCCCGCCTTCTTCTGTGTTGCCACTCGGCTCCCTCCCTCTCTCGCTCGCTCGCTCCGCTTGAACGTTTTGCGTGTTGACGACTTTGCTTCGTGGGGGGGTTGTTTTATTTACGAAGGCGACGTTGTGCAAAGAAAGCCCAATTCACTAGCAATAGTCATAATCGAACGCGATTGTTGCAGCCCGCTGCTGCTGCCGCTGGTGGTGGTCGGTAAATAATTAAATAATCGCGGCCCACGAAGCGGTTTCGACTGAAATGTGTTGAACATTTTTGTTTGTTTCGCAATCAGTCGTAGTTTTTATTGTTTTAATTCCCTTGTTATGGTCATCGGTTCAGTTTTAAACGGCGATTCTAAATCGGCAGCGTTTGCAGGAGTCGTTCGCCCCCGTTAGTTACAAGGATGTAATTATTTATAATAATAACAACACGATTACAACGTGTTGTGATGTTCTTTAAGCGCTGATAAGTTCACTCCGTATGCATGGAGCCAGGGAAGTGGATGGCCTGACCACGGGTAATTATTACTACTGCTACTACATGTGTCACCACACACGAGACACTCGTTCATTCATAAACATCATCACCACCCATTCATTGTTACAAATTATCATTGCAATGTGTTATTTTCGTGTTGCTATTATAGTTTAAAATATCGTGGTATGTTTCGATTTAAAGCTTTCGTGACTGCAGGGATTCATCTTCTTGGTTCTTTCGGTAAAGTCACGTAGAAGGGAAATAATAGTATTTTATTATTATTTTTATTATTTCATTATTTCCCTTCTACGTGACTTTACCGAAAGAACCATGAAGATTATATCGTGTTATGTTATACCTTACATCACCATGCATAGACCAGCACACTACCCCATTCATTCATCACTGATTCCTCATTTTAATAAATTGCATTGCTGTTACATATCTTTAATGCTATGATAGTGTATAACATGTGCGTTCATCTCTGTGTCCTCATCACCTCCCTAATCCATTCATAATTAAATCTGCCCTGCAGTGGTTTTGCTATGGCCATGCATTGTTTGGTCTTTTGTGTAGCAACGCTGTGACCTCATCCAGCAGCGGATTGATTGATCGTGGCCGATGATGTTGGCAATGTTTCAGATTTGTCGATGTTATTGTTTGTTCCGCTGTGGTTTGGCATCGCTGTGGAATTTATCGTCAAGGATTTCAGGTGATCGCATGTTCATCTTTATTGTATTGCTGCTCCGTTGCTGCTCCTGCTACCACTACGGTATTATTTAAAGTATTTTTAAAAGAAAAAAATCAAGATGATTACGGTGTATACATCCATCCATCTTGGTCGTTTCGTAGCAGTTGTGCGCTGCTTGCTTTGCACACAAGACGTCGGTGGAAGGACGTGGTGAATGCAAGTACTGTGTACAGTGCCGTGTAGTAGTATTAGTAGTAGTAATAAGAAGGGTGACGTTCCTTTATTTACACGGGGAAAAAGCCTCGCCGAGTCTCGGCACTCGTTCACTTTGAGAGCATTCGGTGGACGCTCAGCCGCCACGTGTGTTTGGAGGAGAGAGAAGAACGTGAGAGGTTTGCAGGAGGATGAGGCCGTACACACAAGTGCCGGTTCACGATCTTAACCTACACACAGATACAATGGCCACCTGTGTGTGTGTGTGTGAGTCTCTACGTTCAGACACGTTCCTCATACGTGAGATACGTGAGATTCTGCGTGTCGCCCGCGCAATAATCTTGCACGCTTCCCAAGTCCCCGGCACTTGTACGGTGCAATGTTCGTGTGTCAAATGAATCCGGAGTTGTATATATGGTCGATACTATCTATCCCTGCGGTGATGTGACACACGTTGACGTCTTGCATCGCAGTGAACACGCATGCAGGTCAACGCGCCACGTGGGGTGTTAGAATGAGACGCAGCATGCACACGCAATGTCTGATTACAAAATAAACAAAAGCTAAAAGATGTTTAGATATTGACACGTGGTAATCGGTTGCTTGCTCGAGTACCAGGAGCGTGTTGCAGCATCAGGATATGGCACCGGCTCGGGAAGGCCTCATTCAGCAGTGGATTGAGCATGGCTGATGATGATATTGCAGCACGTACTACAACATAGTATGCACTGTAATATACACAGGACAGGATACTGTGTATTGTGACCATGAGTGCACCGGTCAGTTCACCGATGTATAGCATTAGTGCGTTACAGTGTCAATGTTTAACCCAACAGGGCTTATATACCAAACATAGGATGACGTGTCCGTGAACGCGAGACATTGTGTGAATCTCCTAAAGTATAAAGCATACTGCAGTATGCTACATACAGCCTGCGTTTAGTGTAATGTTTCACTTGCATAGTGTTTCACACATTGTACAACAGTGTAGAGGAGCATATTGGGTGGAAGATAACCATCCCACAATGTTATGGTAACACATGCATCGATCATAATGGCACAGGAACACTTGATTTAGAAAAAAATGCATGTTGTGTATTTAATTTGGTGTATCTGTGCATATAGTGGCTTTTCGAAGCATTGTTATTATCGTGCATGCACAGTCCGTATAAAACACTCTTCCACCACTTATCAGTTGTATCAACGACTCCTGCTCAAGTGCACTTGAAGCCATTGTAAATGTTTCCATTTTAATTGTGAGTCCGATTTTTTTATTCTCGATCTCGTCTCGTTTGTAATCCAGGATTTAGAATCCTCCCTTTTCCCCTGCTCACATTTCATTCGTCTGCTGCGTAATGCGTGTGTCGCCTTTTAGTATGCAGTGAACATGTGTCGGATAAATCTATGATTCGGCCAAAAGAAAATGTTCGTCTTATTTTTGTTACATGTGCTTTTGTAGTTCTTGGTTGTAGGTATCCCGTGTGGAGACCCATCCATCTTTTACTTGATAATGGCTCACTAAGATTATATTGTGGTTGTAGTCTATTTGATCGTACCCAATTGTAGGTGCTGGCAATAATAATTATTTTATTCCTACGTGACTTTACCGAAAGAACCAAAGAGTATACTAATCAGAATCTTTGATGATTAAAAAAGGGTTTTGGTTTAGATCGCGTAAGTATAAATGTGTCGTAACCCTCCACCACCCGATACAGCAAGTACTGGTTGTCACGTAAACAACGCGCCCATTAGTTACTACTTCAGCCCACCGGTGTGTTGGAGAGTAAATCCACAACATTTACTATTTGAATACGACGTTTTGCTGGTAATTATATCCAGCATCATCGGGTGGTGGAGGCTTACGACACGTTTATATTTACGCGATTTAACCCAAAAATCTTTATTATCAATATAATATTGGTCGCGAAAGCCTACATGCTAAACTCTTTTATTTATCCTGGAGAAATCCGATGAGCTATGAAGCTCTTTTTCACATTTGATGCAAATCACAAAAAATAAACACGTAAAATAAATTATATAAGTTCAAATTGCATAAGTACACCAATCCCGCAACTCCGCTTAGCACGGGTGCTACGTATGGTGCGATAGAAGTTCCTACATACAATTGGCAAGTTTGGGTAAGGCAGAAAAACGACAGCAAAAACAGTCCCAGACCACACCAAGACAACACACAGCCCCGCAATAAAATTGCACATCAACATTTAACTATCGATACTGGTTTTGGTCGTGAGTGGGAGTTGATACATGAGTAAGGTTGAAAGTTACAAATAACATTTGCAAATGCAGTCGTATCCAGCACTAATCTTCTGCTTCAGGATATATTTTAAATGAAGATTTACGATGTTAAGGGAGAAACAAGGTTGTTCCAAAACGTTGGTGCTGTATTGGAAAAGGTTTTGTCAACGTTTCTTGTTCATGGGGTTAAAAAGCAAATAAATGAACGTCTTAGGTTTCTTGGCTTTGACAACGGGATTAATAAATTAGCTAAGTATAGTTCCGATTTGCAAAGTAATATTTTATGGATGAACAGGGTCCAGTGTATATTTATTTTTGCACCACGTGATGTCAGATTGGATTTTGAGTAGGGGTCACAATGGTGGGTCCTGTATGGTACATCCAGTGCAAATCAAAGAGTAGAATTATTTAAGCGGGTTAGTCCGTTTTGTGTTTCATTAGTAGCTGATCTATAAGCAGTGTCGCAGTAGCCAAGCAGTTGTAGAATTACGGCTTTAAACTATTTCCAGGTGCAATGGAATGAGAAAACAATGTTTTTGTATAAAAACCCTATTTTTAATTTTCTTTTAAGATGTGCTGATTATGGGATTGGAATGTAAGTTTTAAAATCAATCCATAAACCCATTTATATGAAGCACTCTGTTCGTTGATGTTGTTTCTGATATCCGTAATAGGTGTAGGCAATTAAAGTGGAGTTTTATTTGAAGAAAATAGCATGATCTTCTTTTGGGGATTTAGGAGCAATTTTAGTGATGATGATACAGCTCGACTTATGTTGAAGGAATTTGAATGATCAAGTGGTTTTCCTGTAAAAGTGGCTGCTTCTGTGGATGCTGGAGTTTTCTGCCACATGTAAAAACATACTAAAGAATAAGTAGGCCAAAGATCAAAAGAAGAACCTCAAAGAAAAAAAAGATGATTGAGTCTCAGTGAGGCTGTCCTGTATAAATGAGAAAATGCACTACACAAAAACGGTCAATGAAATTCTCGAGTTGAGAGCATTGACAATTTTAAAGCATATGTTTATCAGTTGTTTTTGTAGATGTTTCGAGTTAATTTATTTTAAGTAGGTAAGAGCTCTTTGAGAGGCAGCATCTTTTTATATTACAAGTTTAAATTGCCCGATGGTACGTATTTTGGCTATTGCCTGTAACATCCAGACAGCACTGCCAGTTATGTAGTCATTTGTGGCACGCCAATGGCTCGTACAAGTACAAAATCCGTGTCACGTTAAATAGCCGAGAGCAGAAAATGTTGACCTTGAAGGCATTATCAGCTCAACAGTTTTTTTTTTTCTTTTACGATGTTGAATGCACAGGATATGCTGAGTGATGGCACAGTGCGTAGTATACTATGCTATGATCACGGTAGCCTAAGTTTGAATCCTGGCCACAGCTAACATTAGTACCGAGTTATATTTGAACCAATTCTGGCCCCACCCATTCACCATCCTGCACTGACCAGTATGGTGAAGTATGGTTAAGTAACCTCCGATGACGGAGAGTTCTTCATCTAGCAGTGGATTGACAAAGGGCTGTGAATTATTTCAGGATATGCTGCGTCTGCAATGTTGTATTTAACAGGGGACGGGACACTGCAGTTGTCCGAGGCTGTGAACAGCATTGTTAAAAATTGTGATGGGGATTCTGAGCATGGAGAGAATTGGGTGCAGCCTGTCTGCGCCTTCCTTTAGCCCTGGTTGCCATCACGCCAGGCAGCACATTGTCCACATAGTGTGTGTGTATTTGAGCATTGTGGGTGACGAGTTGTGTGGTCTCAGCAGATGGTGTGCAACATACTCTTGTAGTCATCTGCACACTTGCACACACGTACAACTTTGCCATTTTCCATTGTTCCTTCTGACCAAGTCTTTGTTTTCATTAGGCAAATGTGTTACATACTGTGTGTGTAACATGACAAATATTTACTATTTTTTTAGAGAGATTAAAAAACCCTCTGAATCATAATTAAACCCAATAGAACAGCTATCTATTGCCAGGGAGATCCTGGAAAAATTATTATGCCATGATAATGTAAGAGTGAATGATAAGGTGTGTCTGTAATCACGTTTTTTTATTTTTGCATAAAGGAACAAGAATATATATTTAAATGAACTGACCTTCAGGCACAAAGACATGAAGGTAAATTAAATGCATTTCTCCATTTGTCACCTGCTCCCCACATAAAGCAAGTTGCACTTGGTTCAAAAGGGGTCGTTCCAATCAGCAAATTCCGTGTAAACAAGAGGATATGCTGGTAACACCACCAGCATTGCAGTGTTGGGAAAGTGTCCACTGTACATGCTCACAACCTAAGGACTATAGCTAAATGAGTGTTGTACATTTTCAATAATTTAATGGAAAAAGCACCTGATAGATTGAAGGTTTTATGTTAACAAAATGATTGGCTTAATATACGAGTGGGATGTCTCTAAATTGAAAACTCATTTCTTGATAAATGCTTTTTGTGTTTAGTTGTCCTTCACACACACCTCCGATTATCACGGTTAGCTGTGTAAGGGGCGAAAGAAGTTGAACACACATACATACGTTGCTCGGCATGTGGCAGGAGGGAAGGCAGGGGGCGGCCTTCATCGAGCAGTGGATTGACAAAAGGCTGCTGATTATTGGTTTTTGTAAAAATATTAAACAGCATGGTATTTACACAGACATAATGTTTACAATATTTGCATAAATACACACAAAATTTTAGATGCATTTTTTATTCATCAATACATGACACATTTACTTCCTGGAATAAAAGCTTCTGAGATTAATATATTTTTATTCCGCTAAATGAGTACATATTTAAAATACTTATATTTCCATTGTTACGTTTCCATAATGGCCAGTACTATAGCATGCTCCCGTGCAGTTTTAAATGGCGCCTTAACATTGACACTCGTCATGTTCACTTAATTCGGAGATTGTGAACATGGAATGGCATTTTGGTAATTCTACGCAACAAGTTTTGTGAGCAAGAGCATAAAAAACGAATTTGAAAGCAAAAAGTTTGGTTTTGTGTGATCTTTTAATTTTCTTTGTGGTGCATTGCTTTTTGTGTGACTGTTCTGTTTGTGATGACAGACAATGAATGAACCTGCCTACCTCCTGGTGGGCACAGATGTGAGTGCCAAGTATCGGGGGGCCTTTTGCGAGGCCAAAATCAAAAGTGTAAAGAAGCTGGTCAAAGTAAAGGTGAGTCAATATATTTATGTATATAATGGTTTAATATTTGGCGGTCTCTGGCTGTCGTCTGATGAGGCTGGTTGTAATTACCGGCGAAACATCGTACTCTCATTGGAATTGTTGTTGGTTTACGCACCAACACACTGTTGTGCTGAACTAGTAACGAATTGGGGTGTTCTGTTTACGTGACAAACCTTACTAATTGGCTGTGTCTTGTGGTTGCGGGTTTAACTACACATTTATCTAACCCAAAAACCTCTATAGTTTTGTACTTGTATTACGCGGTCCTAGTACACAGTAAAAATGGACGTAGAGATGTAGCATACTATGACAGTGAAGGTGGCACACTGCTGTAGTCTTAATGCTTTGGAGGCAAGGGTTGGTGGGTCACAGTAGGTCGACCACTCAGAGCGATTAATGAACTGGTCTTGTGAACCTATCTCTGTGGATCTGTGCATGTTGTCCTCCTTGTGTGCCTGTATTTCCTCCAGGCGCTCTGATTTCCTCCCATGTGCAAAATACTCCCTAAATACGAATTGGCCAAATAATCCTAATGCAGCAAACATGCTTTAAAAAAAATGTTTGAGGCTGTCTTGGATATATAGCAGCATTTATGTATCATATATAAATGATGAAGTGTGTGTTCTTTGATCCATTGTTTGCTGTCTCTTTAACCGCTTTAATAACGTACACGTTATATAATGCTTGTTTGCCCAGGAAAGTCTCGCTTCTTGTTTCAGAGGGTCCTGTCAAGTTTTTGCAGTAGGGGGCCAATGATTGTTCTGCATAATGCATTTGAGTAAGATGTGCCATTTGAATGCTTTTACAATTGGTTAATTTGTTATATAACTTATTGATTCTTCCTTTCGTTCTAAAATATGGTTGATAGATACATGACGATTTTCTGAACCCTTTCTGTTATCTTGTTGATTGCTTCTGGAAGTATTTTGGTCATTCAGGAAATATTTTCTGAAAGAATGTTAGCCATTGCAATCACTTTCCTTACTGATGATCTAAGAAGACATCTGGAGGACATGTAGACATTCATTCGTTAAATGTCTTTCGGAAGGTTGTTACAAATGTATTTATATTCACTTGAGAACGAAGATAATTTATGGATGACGATTTTGGTATGCAGAATATCCATCTAGATTTGAAGCTTTCGTGACTGCATACTCTTAGGTTTTTTCGGTAAAGTCACGTAGGTAAAAAAAAGTAATAAAAGTAGCAGCAGCCGCACCAACCTTACCATTAAAAAAAAACTCTGATCCAGGGGCCTACCCTGGCTCCTCCCCCCTCAACCAGTATATATACAAGGTCGGGTCTCTTGAAATTTCTCTTTAATTGATACAGCATTTGTGCTGTGACGGTTCCACCTGAAGACGGAAGCTTGTGTTGGGTCCGAAACGTCATGATTTTTTATTTTATTTTAGGTAAAAAAATTCCTTTATTAATATTGAGTGAAAAAGTGTCAAATATAATTTTCCATATTTCCCATCCTTTTGTTTTGATGGCAGCTCATTTGCGCCTGCCCACATTGCGAGACCGTTACCTCTGATGCATTGTCTGCATGCTTATCTCAAAAGAAGGAAGTGTCAAGTCACCATTGTTACTCTACTGCTTTTCTGCAGGCTGCTAAGCCGTGCGCCGTTATTGAGTCTCGTTTTCGTGTGACTTTTTGCCAGGTCCTGTTCAAGCAAGACTCCTCATCTCACGTTGTGCAGGACGACCAGATCAAAGGATGCCTCCGGGTTGGTCCCTCGATATAACGCACGCGCACACACATACGTACGGACACACGCACGTACAGGGTGGTGACCTGGCCGAGCGGGAGCACTTTCCCCGCCTGTTGTAGGGGTTCGCGGTTTTAATCCAGCGGCCAAGCCTGATTATATTATCACTACCGGCGTAACAACCACAATAATACTCTGCGCCGTTCTGCTTCGTTGTGAATATTAGAGATCTCCTAACATGATTCACAAGAGTGGGCCATTGTGTGCTGGTGTCAGGATCTGAATGTTTTTAATTATAAAATTGCAATCATTGCCCCCTACTGGCAGGCTGATGCCCCAGGGCATTTGCAAAATGGACTCGTTTATTGAAAAATAACTTAACTTGAACCCACTTACACACATTCAGCTGCTAATTCAACCCGCTTTGAATTTGCCGAGTGCAAGTTCACACTTTTATAGTGAGCTTTTAAAGTTTTGATGGGATATAATGAAATCATTTAAAAACATTTTTAATACACACACTCTCCTAATATCACTTCACGGCCCTGGACACATTGTTTCGCACAGTGAGCCTTCGACCATCTGACAAAAAAAACAACGGGATATTATATGCTGCTGTGGGGTTACATTGTGGCAGCAGAGGGCATTGAAGTAACAATGCATTGTTGTATTGTACTATGCTACTACATTTGTTCTCACCTTTAGTAGCCCACGTAAGGCAGTGTGGTGAAATATGGTCGGACAACCCCCATGGACTGCAGGGCTCGGGCTGGCTGTCTGCCAGCAGCAGATTAACAAAAGGGTTGTACATGTGCACACGTACATTGATAATTAGATGTGTACCTGGGCATTTTATCTCTGCATAGGCATGTGTTCACACATATGGTACATGCATTCGATGCAGTATGAACCTGGACTTTGTGGTGAGAGACAGATGTGGAGAAATGCGATCGTGTTGTTCTTAATAGCTGGAGAGCACATGGATGGTCACCCCACCTGACCTAGATGCGGTTCATGTACGTACGCAATACGTAACTGACTTTAAGTCGTGTGTCCTGTTCCTCCTGATCCGTCCAGATCGGCGCTGCAGTGGAAATCAGGATGTCAGATGGAACTCTGCAGGAGGGCATGATTAGCAAGCTGACAGACGCAAGCTGGTACACAGTTGGTGAGGATGTCATGCAGTTGCACGCATATCTTGATTATTTTGTCATAGTTTATTTGTCTTTATCCCCAATTATATTATGATTGTGAGATGAGCAATACATTCATACTTGTGTTTTTTTTTAATTCTCAGATCTGGAATTAAGCCAGAAAGTGCCAAACTGATTGAAATGCGATGATATTTTATACAATGATTTGGGGACTTGACGGAGACCGTTAACTCACTACATTTTAGGAACCATTTGAATAAGAATCGGCTCCCTGGATTCGAACCCAGGTGATGAGCGCTCTGAGCCACCACGTCACTGTTGAATGAAGGGAATTAGCAAAGGCTGTAAATAATTATTAGCCGAGGGCAGTTCGTCTTATTGATGAGTCTTTTCCTTGTCGGCTATGTTATCCACCACTTGGCCCAAAGAACAATTATTAAAAGCACTCCAAATTGCACGTAAACAAGACATTCTTACAATGACGATTATAACGCACGTGTCAAGAGCATAACGCACGATTTTCATTGAGAGCTTGTAGAATAATTACATCCCGAGTGTTGGCACTCCAACTGCTGCTTACTCACCAACCCCTCCTCTTCTGTATTGTCCCAGTTTTTGACGATGGCGACGAAACTGTGCTGCGACGATCTTCCTTGCGACTCAAAGGAGAGCGGCACTTTGCCAAGAGCGAGGTAGGAGCTTGCGCTCGTCTGTCGCCACTCCGTTGTTGTTTTTTTTCGACGCGTAGCCAATTGCGTTTGACAGTGGTACGGTTACTAAAAGTGCGCACCAACATTTTTTTTTCTCTCTCCCACCACCCCATTGCGTTGTGCTTGGCACTGCAGAGCTTGGACCAACTCCCGCTGACACATCCGGAGCACTTTGGTACGCCAGTCCTTGGAAGAAAATCCGTTAAGGGCAGGAGGTCGGGTCTGACGTAAGTAGTGCACAGTGCTCCGTTGCTAACCCCCAGGGTGTGCGCATGCTACTGGGTGTCTACTCATGTAAAACTGTGTCAATTTAAAACTGGTCATTTGTCAAATTTCTTTTAAACGGTTCCAGTTTACTCTGGGTGTCACCAGTTTAACTTGCGAGATCTAAATGGATGTGAGAAGATCTTTCTGTCCTCTGGCTCTGCTCTGAAGATGGGGGATTTGCTGGAAATGTTAGCCTGTTATTGAATTTTGAATTTAATAGGCAGTCCTTGCGTATGATGGCAATGCGTTCAGGGAGCTAAATGCCATTGTCAAGGTCTGCTAGCTACAACAGGGCTTCAGGGAGAGAGTTACTGTAGTTTTTCTATTCCTCCATTGCAGGGGCAGTGTTAATAATGAATTCATAATAATAAATGCACTTAGATTTGTTTACTTTACTCCAGTAAAAACGCATTGTAAAACAGACTTTTATTCGAATGAGTTAACTTTTTTAAATGCTAGTACTATATTAGCTTGCAAATTGTGGGCACACGATAATTGTCTATCTCACAACAAAGTAAAATAACATTGTAAAGAGGTGAGCACTTGTGTTTTTTTTCATATCGCCAACAGCACTTGCCACAACAGCCCATGCAGACTACATGAATGATTTGTGTGTGCCCTTATAAGTACAGCAGTGCATGGTTCCAGTACCGTTAGCATCAGCAGTCTGCTGAACGATCTTCATGCATCCACAGGTCATGTAAGATGTGAGCGAAGTGGATAAAGAAGTTATACCAATATGGCAAGAGTCTGTAATTGGCAGATATGAATAGATCAAATGGCCATGTGAGGGTCCACTCGTAATTCAGTGCACAACACTAGTTGTGTACTTCAATCTTAGTGTCTGGTAGTAGAGCATTCTGCTTGTGATGTAACTGTCTCTCATTGCTTTTGAAACAGCCTGAAGAGCATTGATTTTTTTGATCCTGTGTGTTTAATGATTCAGTATACCACCACATTAAATAACAAGTCTGTCCAAATGTTTAATAAATGTGCTTGCAAAGCGTGGCATGAAACGAAATGCAAATTTCGTTTTGTTAAAATAGATGTACAGCATTCAGCAATGCTAATTCAACTTTTGTTTATCAAAGTACTGCTCATCATATTAAATTTGTGTTTACATTCATTGCATTGACTTAGAAGTGCTGTACATGCAGCTCATTCACATGAGCATTGAGCCTTCTTGGGGAGAATACATCACCAAATTGCCCTTGGCAAGATATTGACAGAATTGGACCCTTGCATTGGCACACAATAGATTGTTGTAGAAAATTGTTGTAGCGCCTTCATGGCTCACTCCACGGTAGATGCCTAACTTAGCATAATGCCCTTCACGGTTGGTTGATACCAGGTAGGGTTTTATCCAATAGGCCAGGGATGGGAAGGTTTTTTCTTACCAAGGACATGAATACGACTTTCATATACCCATATGTAAATGAAATAAGACTCATTCTGCTGTGGGTGCTTTATTACACAACAATAGCTCTTGCTGTTGTAGCTCTTTGGACAGCCTCACTCTCTTTTTTTGCAATACTAAGTTGCACATCTCAGTGTATATTAACTGAGGTGGGGGGGGGGAATCTACATTGATTTATTTCGTGATTGCATTGCATTGCATGAGAATTTTATAAATTTTTTTATAATAATGTTATTTTCAATTGCTACTGTATAAAAGCCAGTTGAGTGCTCTCAACCACAAATAACCACTGCACTGTTTACTTCAGTGTTTGAAAAATGGTCAGGCATTAATGTATTTTTGCAATTTGTACTTATATGCTTTATATTTAGTGACTTGCTTACCTTTCCTATACTTCGGACTCCGATGGGTTTTTATATTGTTTGTTGATGCAATTTCCTGACCCGCCCTGACTGGACATATGTGTAAAAGAGGTTCATAGCTCATCGGATTCCTCCAGGATGGTTAAAGATTCTGATTTTGTTTCAAACATGGCCCGCAGGCAGCATTTTTAGTTAAAAATTGCACACGAGCATTTTATCCAGCAAAGCAGTGGCACGTCCATCTAAAAGCATATCCGTTATCGCCATCTGCTTGCGAGGCTGCCCACACAAGATGAACATTGCTAATGTTTACGTATAATAAGAGAGAGAGGAAAAAAACTATCGCTGTTCACTGGCACGTTGGGAATTGGCATGGGAATTGGTGTTTGAAGGAATTGTGGCCAAAGGTTGGGCTAAGGCAGGTGTCGCCGCAGGGTACGGTGTGCGTGCCATCATGCGTACTCTTTGTCATGCGCACGCCTGGTTCTTCACTCGTGCGCAGGTTTGGTCCTTCGTGCTTTCAGTTGGTGTTTGTGCAGAGGCTCGATTGAAGCGTGCGCACGAAGTTTAGTTCGTGCGTGTTGGTGTGCGTGCGTGTGCAGTGCCGGAGATGAGAAGGAGGTGGCAGAGTGGAGCGAGGAAGACGAGGCGGAGCGAGTTGTGGCCGACGACGGCACAGTGGGACACGTGGTGTGTGTGGAGAGTAGCGCAGACGACAAGAGGAAGGGCTACCCGCTGTTCCCCGCCCTGGTCAGTTTCTACTGGCAGTCATTCGAAATATTTTGGAACTTATTGCAACAGTTTCTTGATGAATGTAATACATAAATTGTACCTTCCTTTGTCAATCCGCTTTTGGATGAAGGTCTCCCCCACACCATCTGTGATCATTTATAAATAAAACATTTGGTTTTACTTTGATGGGATAAAACGTGACTGCAGCAGAATGTTCAGGAAAGTGCATCGCCCACAGTGTGTGAATAAGAGGTCACTTGAAGGGATCTCAGACAGTAGTCCTGTAATGCTACCTCTTGCAGTGCATTCTCTAAGCACATGGGGATGCACTGCTCCACGACCATTTCAAAAGGATATCTTCCGTCTCATAACATGACACCAGTGGCATAATTGCAATACAATTTTGAAAAAAGACAAACACGTGGAAAATCCTAATCTACAAGTAAGTTTCAGGAAATGGTTTTCACACGTTCCAGTTTTTGCCACAAGTTGGCAGTCTTAAGCAAATATTACAATGTAGCTCCTTGGTGTTGTCGGAGGGTTATTATTTATTGTGTATTTTTATAGAGGGAAGCACAGCGATGCAGTGTATCATCCTTCAATTGGTGTATTTTTTTAACTAAATGACTACATTTTTCTTTGTGCATGATAGGTCGTGTCCCCTGACTGCAACGATGAAGTCACAGTGAGAAGAGACCAGTGCTTGGTTCGATCTTTCAAGGACGGAACTTTGTAAGCCGTTGTTTGACTTTTCGTTGGTTCCTTTTGCAAACCCACTCGTTCTGAAGATTCCTGTTTGGGTTAGGGTTCAAAAGACCGCGCCAATTTACTATGCCATTTGGTCTTTTGTGCAGTCACTGCGTGGCACGGAAGGACATCCGCGTAATGGACAGGGAGTCCTTCCCAAAGCCAGAAGCTGCATTGAAGCAGGGTGAGTGACAGCTTTAATTAATGCCAAGGTCAAGTATATATATATATATATTTTGTATTTCTTATTAAGCCACTTTAGCCTCAACTGTCCCACTTATTTTGGTTCCAGCTTTGTTGTTTTAAGTCTTAAACATGAATAAAATTGGCTGTGGAAATAATTGAACACTTCATCTCACCTGTAGGTGGTTCACAAGTTGTAAGGTAAATATTGTAAATAGGCTAGATCTGCACCACGTTGTTTATGTTTACGCGAAGGTATGCAATGCAATTTTCATTTTTCTCTAAATTTAGTGGTATGTGCTCACTCTTCCAGTATTTCTCGGGCCCAATGTTTAGTCACGCTAAAAAATGTTTGCTATGATTGGACTACGACCTAGTTAAAATGAATGAAAAACGGTTTAAATCTGGAATAAACAAAAAATCTCCAAATAATATTTCACTGGGTTTCCATGAATAAAAATGTATTTCTGGGAATTTAAATAAGTTGAGTAGCCCTTGCCATTTTCAAAATAGCCACTGATGGCTTCATGGACTGTGATCCATATATTTTGTTTAGAGTAGTCTCCTAAATAAACATGTATTCGGATAGAATCGATCACGTGTATCTTATTCGTCTTGTGATTATTGACTGCTTTATTTTTATTCAACAATATACAAAAGATGTATAGACTCTTATTTAAATAAACAATATGTTATTGGAAACCCAGTAATTTTACCACACGTAGCACACCAATGTGTAGATGTTATTGGGTATGCCAGCTCATAAAACTGGTCAACAAAAAAAAGACATTTTTTTCTGGCCTGGACTTTTGCAGCTGTTTTAGACTAATTTCAGGGTGCTGATTCCAAATCTGATCTCAGATTTACTCTATCACATCTCATTTTATGCTATCGGCATACCCCATTTTCATTGATTTTACCAGAAATTAACTCTGTCACTTATGATTGCAAGTTGTTGCGAGTCAGTGACTGCTTTAGTGTTAAAATATGGTGCTGTATTTTTAGGATAGTGTGTTTATAATATCATTTTATGTAGATATCCACATTTATTTAATATTTTTCTTTTGCAGTTTTTATTGAAATTGCAATATTTGATATCTCAAAAACCTGATGTGATAGACAAAAACTGATGCCAGATTTGGAATCAGCACCCCGAAATTACCTTACACCCGTTGGAATACCTTATGCCAGAAAAGTGTGTTGACCAGTGATTGCCATTTGTAACGATAGCATTTCTTGCATCTGTTTTGTGGTGTTTATGGTTTTCACAGCCTTTGAAGATGCCCTGGGCTTCTTGGAGGGCAAGGAATCTCCTGCCTCCTGGAAGAAGGATCTCAGCTCAGTCCACCAGGATGACTCGGGCAGTGAAATTGGAGGTGATGAGCAGACGGTGGAGCATGAGGAGGAAGAAGAGGTGAAAGACCATTTGCCTCATTCAGTCACATCCGCAGTCTCCTCCTCCTTGTTGATAGAAGCAAGCCTACTTTGTTGGGTCACGTGATTATGGCGGATTCAACTATACTTTAATCGTGCTCTTTATTTAGTAACGCCTCTGAGTCTGTAGACTTTAAGGTCAGTTTCATTAATAAGTTTAAACTGTGCGGAGAGAAATCATCTATACGAGGGGATCAACACTGTGTTCTGCACAGAACCAAGAATGCATTTGCGGTACTTCCCTTCTCCTGGCAACCACGCTGGTGTAGGGTTGGGGAGCTTCAAAAGTCTGACAAGCGGTGGATTATAGCCATGTGCCACCTCTCCTTGCTGATCCGACGAATAGCCATTGCCAGCGTTACACAAAGCCTGTATGATATACACCAAGATTTTGTATCGATTTAGTGTGTTTGTTTTGGTAGATACACTAAATATTCAAAGCACATTTTTTATGACTTTGCTTACAACGCAAAAATAACTTAACAAAAATAACTGTTACAAAACAAACCACTTGATTCAAATGATTTCTAATTTGCTTGGGACAATAGCTTTTGTTTTGTTGTGTGTCATTACACGAGTTGTTGAATTTCTGTCTTGTTAAAGGCTGACGATGAAGAGTCTGATCCTGAAGAAAGGGATAACTTTCTCCAGCAGCTCTATCAGTTCATGGAGAACAGAGGTAATAGAAATGCTGTCTTGCAATCTAGAATGTGTTCACATATAAGTGTGAGGACCGTTCGTTTCACCAAGTGTTTAAACAGGTTATTTTATATTTTATTGTCGATCCTTTGTAGTCGTTACTATTAAGTAAAATGATCTACTCTTAACCAATAGACAGGGTGGAGTGGTGGCGCAGTGTTTCGCGCACTGCGCTATGAATCCGGCGACCTAAGTTTGATTCCTGGCCACGGCTAGCATCAGTGGTAAGTGATGTTTGAACCGGTTCTGGGTCCCTTCCCTTCCTCAACCCGCACTAACGAGTGAGGTGAAGTATGACAAAACAACCCCTGCATCGGGGAGGCTCTCATCCAGCAGTGGAATTTTTAAAAGGACTGTAGGATATTTGGATTATTGAGATGTCAGTCTAGCCATTCGTGCTGTAACAATGCGTTGATTTAACATTGATTCTTAACATCAATATAGGCATCGAATCACATGCATAATCATTCATGCTTCCAATTTGTATGCTTTGTATGTAAATGGCTGCGTGTGACCTTCTGCATCCACTTGATGGTGCTAGAGTTCTCACCTGCTTGAACAAAATACACATTCTATATTTGATGATTATCTTTCGACAATGGGGTTTGCGTCATTGTTATCGTCTTGGCTGGTTTTGACCGGAGGTTCCATGTGTGTGCTGTAGGGACTCCCATCAACAGGCCCCCAGTGCTCTGCTATAGGAGACTCAACCTGTTCAAGCTGTACAGGCTGGTGCAGAAGAGAGGAGGATCTACCGGCGTGAGTTTACACTGGCAGGCAGCCGAACCACAGTGCCACGATTCGTACATCTGGACTTGCGATTCGGAGATCGACTGTTCGATTCCATCTCCTGGCGCGGCAGATTAAACAACTGTGCAAGTTTATTAAAATGTCCCCCGGCTCAGTCTACCCAGCCGGTATAAATGGGCACGCCGGAGTTAGTCAGTGGGCAGAAGAGGTGGGTAATCCCACTTCTTCCGAGACGTCTGGCTAGCCTGGAAGAGTAGGCCAAATACCATGTAGAGCTGCCTCTATTTGACGCCCGACAGCTAGCTTTAATGTGAGTAAGAAATTGCAAGGACTTTATCTTACCGAACCCTCGGTTTCCGTCGGTGGATTATTCGGGTTGTGGAACAACCATGCTTCTGAAAATATAAATAAGGGGTCACTGACTTGGTGCCCATGTGACCACAAATATGTCAGCAAGTAAACCGCTTACTTTATGAAGGAATAAGAACATGGCATAGTCTATGTTTTTAGATGTACGTGTATGTAACATTAAGTAAGTATGTTTTAATTATATTATTTACATATTTTTAGCATTATCTTTTATTTGTTTTATCTGGGCCACCATTTCCCAACCCCATTACCATGGATAATTGAGCATTGGCTATAATTCTGTTTGTATGCATCATTGTCAGCCTTGCTACGCACGCATTAGTTATTCCTCGTAAGCTCTCAAGTGTTATAGGGTTTAATCCACTTCATGGTTCTTTTTTACAGATCCATACCCTCGTCTGTCTAAGCCACTTGGTCAATGCTCATTGCTCACGTGGTGATGCACTGAGGTTATCCACCAGCTCTAAACCACCGTCATTGCGTTCGAATGATATCTGAACCGGTGTTGGCTCCCCTGCCACTGCTGCCCTTCCCTAACACGTGCTGTCCAGCGTGGTGAATTATGGCCAAACATCCCCCATGGCCGACAAGGCATGGCAAAGCTAACATGCCGCAGAATATTGACAGGGATGAACGTTATTATTTTATTACTATTAAAACTCCTGCCTCATGTAAAATAAATAATTAATTGCAATAACAAAAAAACTAAAACCGTGGCCCAATTACCTTAATTTGGTGTTCAGTGTTTGAAGTTGGATGTTATTCAATGGATAACACCATTCGATGATTAAGTAACCATTCTGAATGGCTTTGTGCCTGTATCCTCTGCAGCTGCTGTCGATCAGGTCATGGCTAAATGTGCGTGATTATATGAACGGAGTTTATCCTAGACTGGATTTAGGACAGTTTTGAAAAGGTGCCTTCGTGTGTGTGGGTCCCTCTACAGATAAAGAGTGGGACCACGTGGAAGCAGGTGTACAAAGAGCTGGGGGTCCCAGTGTTAAACTCTGCTGCTTCACACAACATCAAGAGCACCTACAGGAAGTGAGTGACCTACGCTGTCTGTAATAACAGTGTGAGTGCAATTGCAGCCTCTTAAGTCGGGGGTTGGGAGCCTGTTGACTTTGTGGCGTATGGACCCACGGCCATATAAAGCCTACCACTTGGAAACGGCCCTCAAACGATTGCTTTTATCAATCGCTGCAATCATCTTGGTTGCATTTATCAGGTACTGGAGGGGAATGTTTTTTTACCTGTGTTTCTATTTTTAGCACACTTAGCCACTTGGAGTGACAGATGTGACAGAGGTCTGTCTTTAATGCGTGGGCCGGCATATTCGGTTACGTATGGTGCGAAAGAAGTTCAACATAATATTCAGCTCTTGGCATGGAAAAGGTTCCCCATCGTAGCTGTAATTCACGCTGGGTATGGTTGCCTCGGAGCGTAAATGTGTGTGTGCTCACATACCTGTGCATTGGTAGACTTACACTGCAGGAGATGAGCAGCTTGCAAGTTAACGCTGTGCGCTGCACGCCCACGGACGTGGATTTCATTTTTAGAGATGCATGTAACAATTCTCGTACCTCTTGTTCTTTAGGCCAACATAAATTGTCATAATTAAATAAAAAAATGAATTAAATTAACTGGTAGCCCGAGCAAATTTTCCCTCATTCCATGGTTGAAGTTGCATGTCGAGTGGTATCTGAATCGACTTCAGCAAAATAACAGTGGTAACATGCGTAGCTAGATTGCCAGGTAACATCTATATGTGGGCGCTACATGTAAGAAAAGACTAATTTCTTGGGAGATTCCCTCCATTTTTTTTTTTGACTGGCCCCGTTCCTCTGATCGATTGCGGTCGCAGGTACCTCTTCGGCTTTGAGGAGTACTGCCGCTCGGTCCGCATCCGCTTCCGGAGCGTGGAGTACGCGATGGAGGCCGAGGGCCGGCAAGTCGGACGGCGCACAGGGAGGAGGAGGGAGGCGCCCGCACCTCAGCCCGACCCCGAGGAGCCATCGGCGGCAGACGAGGCCCCAATGTCCGACAAGAGAGAGGCGACGATGACGAGGAGGAGGACCAAGGCTTCTCCTGCCGCTGTTGCCTCCGAGGAAGAGTGCAGCGACGAAGGCACGGAGAAAAAGGAGGAGGAGGAGATGGATGTTGTCAACGCGGCCGCAGTCGAAGAAGAAAGCGACAAGAAGGAGGAAGAGTCGGGCATCAAGGAGGAGCCCGACGGTCAGATCGTGGCGGCGGTGGTGGCGGCAGCGGCGCCGATGGAGGAAATGGAGGAGAAGCTCGTGGAGGTGGAGGAGAACGATGAGAGGATGGAGACGTCCGTGGCAGAGGAGGCGTCCCGCAGCGAGAGCGATACCAACGTTGCGACCGGCAGGCTGGTCGCCAGAGCGGAGTTTAATGCGACGCCTCTGCGGGTGAGTGATTATTACAGATGTAATTTTTGCCATCTAGTGATTCTCGTGCAAGAGGTTTTTTCGGGGCTCAATCGGCTCTCCTCTAGGTTTTAAGTAATATTTTGTATGCCTACATTCCGTGCATTAATGTTGTCTCTTCCTAAAAAGGGCCATGGTCAGCTTCAGTATGGTGACATCAATTTGTGGGATGCATTTTTTTACTTTTTAAAAACATGCTAATTAATGTCGGGGCATTGAGGTGCATAGATTTTCGTACACATTTCCCCGATGCATTTTAAGGACCTCTTATTATTTGTTCCATATGTTTGGCCTATTACCAAATCGTCGTGACCAAATGGAATGGGCCGTATCTTATCAGACCTTGGAAAGCTAACCATGGTTTAGCCTAGGATAGTGCTCGGATTGGCGGTTGTCATAGGCTGCCGTGGGGCTACCTATTGGGTAGCGGAGGGCAGGGCAAAAAATCTATTGTACTGTACTTCTGTGCTTCCACATCTATGCTCCCCGCCTTCACGCCACACTAACGAGCTTGGTGAAGTATGGTCAAATAACCCCCGTGCCCCGCACGGTCGGGGGAGACCTCATCCAGCAATGGATTGAAAAAAGGGCAGTACATTTCCGCATGCACGCTGTACAATTACGCTCTTGCTGTGTCTGTACGTGCATCTGTGCCTTCTCAGATATACACGCAGGATTGTGCTCGTGCATGTTGAAGCGTGTGTTGCGCCCGATTTGCTCACAGGGACGCCGTCGGAGTGGCCGAATTCCCTCTCCGGGCCTGCCGAAACCGACCGAGACGGCCGAGACGGCCGAGACGGCCGAGACGGCCGAGACGACCGAGACGGCCGAGACGGCCGAGACGGCCGAGACGGCCGAGACGGCCGAGACGGCCGAGACGGCCGAGACGGCCGAGACGGCCGACACGACCGACACGACCCAGACGACCGAGACGACCGAGACCACCCAGACGACCGAGACGACCGAGACCACCCAGACGACCGGGACAACCGAGACCACCCAGACGACCGAGACAACCGAGACCACCCAGACGACCGAGACAACCGAGACCACCCAGACGACCGAGACAACCGAGACCACCCAGACGACCGAGACAACAGAGACGTGCGAGACGGAAGAGAACAAAGGCACACCGAGAGACGTTAAACCGAACGTGGAAATGACGGAGGAGCGGTGGGCGGGATCGGAGGGTGGTGCCAACAGCGGCGGCGGCGGCAGTGGCGACGGCAGAAACGCCAGCAGCATCGCGGCGACCGCCGTCGCTGCCGAGGCTGTGGACGTCCCGGACGATGAGGACCGCGAAGAGGATGACGACGAGGCCGACGATGACATGGAGGATGACGACGGAGACGAGATGTCGGAGCGGAGCGGGGAATCTGACGCCCCGGGGGTGCCGTCGATGCGTGCGGTGCACCACAGGGTGGACACTGATGAGCAAGGCGATGAGAAGTGAGTGCTTCTCCGTCATGTCCACCACCACCACCACCATCGCCACGGCACAATCATTACCATCATCACCTTTCACGTTTATCATCTTCAGAATCGTCACTGTCCCCATCATCATCACCACTGTCTGCATCATCATTGCTGTCATGGTAGTTATTGGCATTGCCACCAGTCATCGTCATCAGCAACGTCATAAACCACGTTGTGGTTAATCTCTGTACGAAAATTGTGCGGCTTGGTTCATAGGATGGGAGCCCAGGACTGGTTCAGATATCACTCACCACTGATATTAGCCGTAGCCATGGATTGAGCTCCGGTTGCTAAAATTCACAGTGCAGTGCATTAACGATTGCGCCATCTGTGGACCCCTTTAATTTTATACCACACCTTTATCGGCTTGAAGATTGCAAACCGTAATTTGTTATTGACAGAAAAGTGATATGAGAAAGACGTGTTTTGCCAATGTTGGCCATCAACCCGACAATGAAGGAGTATGATGTGAAAATAAATAAAATAAATATACCTCCTTTGTGTATTGCCAGGACTACAAACATAATATTGCTTTCAAGCTGTGTAAGATGATGGACTGAGGCAGTCTGAGGACTCCAAGCCCAATATTTCAAATCTTTATTTTCTTATGTTGCAATATAATTACGGAAATGAATAGGTCGCTGCCGTATGCAAGTTACAAAGCCATAAACCTTGAGAGAAAATACGGGAGTGCACATAAGTGCATGTTTGGACAGTGCGAGTAGAGAGAGAGAGGGGAATGCACACTGTTATCACCCAAGCATCGAGGGAGGGAAACGGACGACATTTGCAGACCCTGCTACCCTAGTGAGACAGCGTCAAAGGTGGCATGTTAGCTTGTCGGTGATGGGTGGCATGATAGGTGGCTTGATAGGTGGAATGATAGGTGGCATGGTCCTGGTTTGGCTGGGGTCGTTAGAGCCCGCTGGTTGTCGTTGTAGCAGGGACTCGGATGGAGCGGACGATCTGGAGGGCTACCCGCTGGGCACGCGGCTCCAGGTGAAGTACGGCCGCGGCAAAACGCTCAAGGTGTACGAGGCGAGCATCCGCAAACGTGGCGTCGAGGCCGGGGAAATCATCTACCTTGTGCACTACTTTGGCTGGAATAGCAGGTATGTGCGGCTTGCAAGTGTGCGCCTCTGGGTTGATGTGTGTGGGTGGATGTGTGGGTGGATGTGTGTGCATGTGTGTGTGTGTGCTGGGCATGGTTTTAGCCACACCACCCTCTTGTGTGCTGTGTTGGCCTAAAAAGCTGCTCGCTAATAGCACTTGCTCTTTGTCTTGTGCAATTGCGCATCCATATGTGCGTGCAGGTGGGTGTGTGCGTGTGTGGGGGCATGTCGGTGTGTATGTGCAGGCTTAGGTGTGTGCCAATACATGGACGTGTCTGTGTGTGGGTAAATATTTGTGTTCCTTTGTGCACCTGAGTGTGTGTATATATGTGCGTGTGTAAGTATGCCAGAAGTAGTCGAGCAATGGTGAAGCACACTGTTCTGTGATCCCAGCTACCTGGGTCAATAATGGCAAAAGATAACTAAATCTGTCCTGAGCCTCCCCGAGGTCATCTTCATCTTTTGCAGTGTGAAAACATCATCATTGGGGGGGAGTGGGGGTGCTGACCATTACCCACCACACCCCCCTTGTATGCCAATGCCCAGCAGCACTTGCCCCATTCGTTAGTCTTTAAACTTTGGGTGATCCTTTTGCGCAAGCTTGCATGTCACTTTTTTTCACTTTGCCATGTCACGTAATTTACACGCAAATTTGTGTTTTGAGATGAAGTTTTAAAGGTTGACTATTTTATACCTGAATTTAACATCGAGTGTCATTGTTATTTTTTGGAGTGCTTTTTTTTACCTCTTGGCTGATTTTAACAGGTATGACGAGTGGATTAGGGCCGACAGGATTATTCGGCCCATTGATAAGAATGTTCCCAAAATAAAACATAAAAAGAAAATAAAGGTGAGATTTTACACAACTTTCCTGCCCCGGTTTCTGTTCAATTATAATAGACATTTTAAGACGTAACTTTAATTTCCTGTTATTTTGCCTTCTATTTGTGGATATTTTTTCTTAAAAGTAACAACAAAAAACACGCGCGATTTGATGCCCGCTTGTTTACGTTATCCGCAGCACAAGCATGACAAGGAGGAAGAGAAGGGGGGCGAAAAGCAAGAAGAAAAGGCCCTCACGCCGGCACGCCGCGGACGCCCTCCTTTACACGCAGCCAATCGCGTGCCGGGGTCCGGTGTCACGAGGACCCCCTCGAGGACCCTGGGCAGTGGCGGCCGTGGCAGTGCCCGAAGCACTCGCAGCACGCCAACGTGGGACTCGCCCAGTGATACGTCGGAAGGTAAGACAATTGGGAACGTGAGAAAAATTGTGCGTCGCTTAGAAATATTTTACATTTCAAATGCGGGCATTTTATCAATATTTATTCTTAAATGCTTTGCAACAGAAGGTTAAGAGTGTTGTTACGTGAGCTATAGTGTCCGTCTGTCTCTATGTCCATCTGTGACGGTGATGCGGTATGAATGAGACAATTCACAAAGTTGCGTGGCCCGTGCTCCCCCAAGCAGAGCTGCCCTCCGAGCCATGTTGTCTCATTGCGGCATACAAATGTCGCACGAGCACGACTGTTATTTTTTGCGAATTACTTGCGTTGAACATCGTTACAGAAGCCATGCGTACGCACGATTTTTCTCCCTTGTTTAATAAACAATGTTTTGCAGGACATTTGAGGAGGCATCGTGGACGTCAAACCGCTACAGAATCAGAGAAAGGCTCAAATGGTGAGTACTTATTTTCTTAATTGAATGTCATTCTTTTTTCCCTGATCATGAGCAAAATGTGTGTCTGCTCTTTAATATCCCAGGGTAATGATGTCGCTCGCCTCTAATCCAACACTTTGGAGATAAGGGATATATGACGATATCATTTTAAATATCATCTAAACGTGACCACATCTCAAGATACTGTACAGAAGAGATGGGCATATTTATTTAAAAGAGAGGGGCAGTCGGTCATAGGCCATGGTGAAAAGAAAATGGATGAGTTAATCTCTCCTATATGTCATGATTTTTTATTTATTAAGAAAATAAATAAATTTCTGGTGCATGTTTTACAAGCTTTGAAACCAAACCACATTTGATTGTCATAAACCTTAATTTACACTCGTGTGGAATGTATACCACACACCTCCGATTAGCACGGTTGGTTACGTACGGCGTGAAAGAAGTTCAACGTACATATATCCGTTGCTCAGCATGTGCCAGTAGTGAAGGCATGGAATATGAACATGGGAATGTGTCTGCGATGAACATTGTCGTGCGTGCCCAGACTCGGGGAGCTCCATGGATGACAGCGAGACGGAGGAGGATTATTCCACGACTGGCTCAGTGTCGCAGGATGGCGGCGGAAGCCGCAGCTCCCGTGGGCCCTCGGAGGGCGGCCCCCACAGAGCCCGCTACGCCGAGGATGGCGCCAGCGCGGCCTCCAGCGAAGCCGGCACCGCCGCGACGGACGCCCGGGGGTCGAGCGCCGAGAGCGCGAACGCCAATCGCACAGAGGAGGAGGAGGAGGATGACGATGATGAGGACGAGGAGGAGGTGATTACCGCCGAGGTGCGCACGCAAGTCCCGGCCTTGAACTGCGCCTGCTCCGAGGCTGAGCCGACGGAGGTCGTGGAGAAAGCCGATCCGTCTGACGAGCCGGCTGTGAAAAACGAAGTTGAGGTCGAGGCAGAGAGCGAAACACAGGAAGAGAAGGTGCCGGAAAAGGTGCAGGAGAAGGCGGAGGAAGAAAGTGACGTAAGGGCTCTTGACATTGATGATGCCCCTGATGCTCCGTCCCTCACGGAGGACGAGAACAGCGTCGCGCTCACTGAAACGTCGGCCCAGGTCGTGTCTGCCAAGGGTCAAGAAGAAACTGAATCTGAGGTTGCGGCAGCCAAATGTGAAAAAGAAGAGGATTTGGAATCGAAGCTGCTGTGCCGCGAGGAGTTTTCTGACATTTTGGACGACAAGCGGGACAGCGAAGATGAGCGAGCTCCGTGTAAAGAGGAGGCCGTTCAGAAGAAGACTCCAAAGGAGGAAAGGAGGGGGAAAAGGAAAACGGATCAAAGCACAGTTGCCAAAAACCCCGTCAAGAAACCTCGAGGGGCTAACCTGGACGATGAGAAAGTGAACCGCAACAGCATTCCAAGTGAAGATGCCAAGATGCCGCTCTTGGAGGAGGAAAGGGAAAATGTCTCCGATCCGAGTGATGTCGGGCCGGAGAAGCCGCCAGAATCGGGAGTGGACGAGAGCCCTCCGAAACTCAACAAGGCAGGCGGCGGCGCCAAGGCAGCCGACCAAACGGCACAGGCGAAGCAAGTGACCTCGCTGTCCTGCGTGAAGAAAGCGTGCGCCGAGGAGAAGCAGGCGGGGGAAGAGAGTGGCGTGGGCGCGGACGCCGCTTGCCCGTCGTTGCCGGTTTCTCCTGCTCACGTGCGGGGAAGCTCCCCGCCGAAGAAGCGTGTGTTTGTGTCGCTGCCTCAGTGCGGCGTGCTGGGCCTCTCGGCTGGCCAGGACTCACCCCTAGATGTCGTTGGCGACGAGAAGGACAGCGTGGATGAACCCCGGGCGGACGACAAGGTCACCACGGAGGTGGACACGCCCGGCGTGATGGTTACGGAGTCGTCCTCCACCAACGCTCACGAACCCGAGGCTCAAATCGAAGACGCTGTAGACGTCAAAGAAAGCGTCGACGGTGTATCTGAGAGCGCGGGGACTCGGAAATCCGACGAGCCCTTAATCGCGGCACAGGATGAAACAAGCGCTCCGAGTTCCGCCTGCGCAGACGAGCAAGAGCAGACCACTGACGAAGACAGCAAAAACTCTAGCGGCGGCACTGAACCCGAGAGCCGCAGCGACGCAGCCGAGAATGAGAAGGAAGACTCGAGTCCCACGAATGACCAAGAGGCCGGTAAGCAGAACTGGGAGGTCCGGGAGGACAGCGGCTTCACCAGCGCCGAGGCGGAGACATCCCCGTCGGCTGACGCAAGCGCAGCCGTGCCCGCAGTCGTGCCCGCAGTCGCTGTCTCGACGGCTCCATCTCCCGTGGCGTCCCCGGCAGCCGTGGTGGTGGTGGCGGCGGCAACGGAGACAGCGGGGCGCCCGCGGGAGGCGTCCCCCCCGCCACCGCCGGCACGCGAGACGACGACGACGACGACGATGGGCACGTCGTACGGGCGACGCGACGTGACCGGTGCCAGCTCCAGCTCGAGCAACACTCCCGAGCCAGAGCCACCACAGAGAGGTGAGAGGATGGAGACTCCAAGGGGGGGGCAGTGTTGTATGTGTTTTGAGTTGTGATAGATTTCGTGTAAAAAAAAAATTGCCAGTTATTTATACACGTCACGATGAGCCATGGCTTCGCCGCCACCGCAATGAAGGCCTCCCAATAGGAGCATCATCGTTCATGGTACTGCGGTGCCTGAAACCCATCTCACTATCTGCACGTGAACTGATCTCATCACTTTATCTCCATGGTGGCTGTCCTCTGGGGCTATGTTCTCTCCGTTGGCTGCTATTCCATCGCCAGTCTCCCCTGTCAGATATTCCTTCTCGTGCCCATTTTCATTTAGTTTTCTCAACAGTCACTGTCAGGTTTCTGATTTGCATTTGTTCCCATGCGAATGTGCTCCTTTTTCTGCTTCTCAATTCAGTTTTCTTTGTCAATGCCTTTGCTTCTAATCCGTGTTATAGCGGGTAATATGCACCGATTTAGTACTTCTTTAAGCACATTGTATGATGCTTTTCATATTCAAGTTCAGTTTTTCAAAAACACTCCATCCTGTTCTTATCCGCCTACTGTTTGCATCATTTGTAAACCAACCCACCTTCAATAACTGTGCTAGTTGTACGTAATCTTGCGTCTTGTTTTACAGTTCTTTTCCTTCAACAGATATTTTTGTGTATCAATTTTGTGTTGCTCATTTATTGAATAAGTTAAAGATGGAGCACTCTCTTTACTTACTCACAACACTGCTCACGGCAAGGGCCTCCACTAGAGGGAGTTCGAGACAGACCCTCCTAGAGAATATCTTGGACTACCTTCCAGACATCTGTAAAGAAGTGGAAGTGCCCACGCTTTAGCCGACCACATGCGAGCTGACGATCGACTAACTGTGGTGAACCCATGTACACTTCTGGGTGGATAGAGGCTGCAGAGGGATTTAAGAAACTTGCACCGTTGTTTCAACTGCATCACCCGGAGAACGAATCGAACCAGCGACCTCTAGATTGCAAGTCAAGTGTGCTCACCATTACACCACTTGTGCCAGCATAATTTATTGTTTACCTGCAGTCAACAACGTGTATTAATTCATTCAAACTTAACTATGATTCTACGTTGCCCGGTGGGTGTGGTGGTGGTGGTGGTGTGTCCGCACGACCCCTTGCAGAAGTGCTGCGCGGCGAAGTCGTGAGCTTCAAGCCTTCGTTTCACCAAGTGGACGCTGTGCCCCGGGGCGGGCCAGCCACGTGGGGCATCTCCGTGCGCATGGGCTCCAGGCGGCGGGTGTACGTCGCGGGACAGAAGCGCGCCAAGGTTGGCGCTGCTGCAGCTGCCGCTGCGGCTGCCTCCGTCGCCGCCGCCAAAAAGCCGCGACTGAGCCCGAAGCACACGAGGAACAGCCCGAGAACGGAGCGCCACAGAGTCGGTAAGAGCGACGCGAGCGCAGGCACGGTGGTGGTGGTGGTGGTGCTGGCCGTGTAGCCGTGTAACAATGTAACGGTGCACCATTCCATCGACTAGGGCCAATTGTTACGTACGCGCATATGTTGAACTTATTTTGCACCGTACGTAGCCAACCATGCGGAGGTGCGGATTACACTCGCAATGTGTGCGTTGAATCGTGTGTGTGTGTGTGTCGGTGGGTTCAATCGGCCAATCAATCTTTATTTTCCATGCCAGCATCGCCCTGGGTAAAGTAGGCGTCAGTGCAGATTGCAGCAAAACGGGCATGGTGCAGCGATAGCAAAACGAATGCCAGATCAAGCCGCTGCTGGCCGCAAGGCATCCCCACTAGAGCGAGCTTTAGAAGCCCCTCTAGTAGAATTGTGCGTGTGTGTAAGAATCGGCAATTTGTGAGTCAGAACACGGAGCAACCACTGCTGAGATTTTGGGTTTGAATCGAGGGAAGCCAATCGTGGCCCCTTCCGCCAACCGTTTGGTGAGCAAGTAAATGTCGGTCTGCACCGTTAAACAATAACGATTGTGAAGTTTAACGAGTTGACGATCTCAATCCAGTTACCAATGGCTGCACCAAAACATTTGAATCCGTTCCATTTTTTGTCATGTAATTAAGCATACTTCAGGTCTGAGAACCAACAAATATTTGGTTTAATAGCAGGGTATGTGGAAACGTGCATCAGCTATTAATAATAATACGAGCCAGTTAAAGTGACATAAATATTTCTGTGGTGTAATTGTATCGATCATTCTCTAGCATGGGATTATGCACTGCTTTCTGTGAGAGTTGCAATGCTGCACACACACAAAATCCGAATGAGGTATGAGGACAGTGGACATTAATAGAGAATAGATGCGGGTTATACCCACATGGAGAGAGAAAATCCAAGCAGCCAGCCACATGCAATAACGGGACTATCTGCTTTAAAGAAGAGGGAAACTTCCAACAATGTTTTTATATTATTAGGGGAGAAAACATTCACATTTTTGACTCTTGGTCCATGGCAATAGGATTTATTTTTCCTGTTCTTGCGAATGATATTAAGCAGGATTTAACATCCACTTGGCTCATGGACGAAACAAAACAAGACGTGAAAACTGAGACGATACAAATAAGCCGCTAAAAATGAGACAAAATAAACTAAGAAAATTAAATGAAAAAGTCGATATTTGAATTGAATCACAGCCACGAATCATAACGCTTTGAATCAGTCAGAGAGGTGGGGGGGGGGCAGTGAAGCATTCTATGACTGACCAATACCAGTGTAACAAGTAAGGGAAATCATGCATAGGCAGGGTTTATTTAATGCATTTCAGCAAGCATTTGTTTTCAGGAATACTTAATTAATTGTTGGGGAAAAAACGCATTTGCAAATTTACAAATAGTCTTTTATGCTATGGTTTTGGGTCTACAAGTTTTGGGCAACAATTTGATGAATTTGGCCGGTCTTCCAAGAGGGCAAGTCCCTAACAGCAACACGGTTCTTATACGACATCTCAGTCCGTGTTCGATCGTCTGTACGAGAGTTATCGGGTCCCCCTCTCCCGTAACGGATGGACGGAGATAACAACAATAATAAAAGTACATTCCACCCTTTCCAACCTTCCATTTAAAAACGCCTCTCGCACGTCGACGACGCAGGCCAGAGCAGCGACAGCGAGGAGCTGCCGCAGAACGAGCCGATGGGGGGCAAGAGCGCGGCGTCGCATGGCAAGCACGCGGCCGCCGGCGCGACGAGCAGGAGCACGCGAGCCGCGCGCTCTCCCCCGGGGGGCTCCCCGCCATCCCTGCCGCTGGCAGGGACCCCCCACGGCCGATCGGGCGGTGAACGCGGGGCCGGGGAGAGGGTGGGACGACCGCCGCGCCTCAGCCTCCAGATCGGTATGCTGCCGCTGTCGTGCGGCTGACCGCGGCGGAAAGTCGAAGCTTTTTTTTTGCCCTTTCCTCTGCTGAATCTCAGAACGCGAAAACGGTTAGTGCCGTTGTTTTCTAAAGGCGTACCGCAGAGAACTGCAGCAACGCGAGCGCATTGTATGGAAGCTGGCTCCAAACTGCGCCACATGCCCTCCCGCATGGCTTTGTGGGAGCCTCGGTATGTCTTTCCCGACCTGAAGAAGAACCGATAAAGTTGTTAGTTTTTAAGGGACTTGCGTCCTTTGAGTGACCAGCTTGAAATAAGCTTGACTGGTAACACGTGAAAGGTAAAGTTTATGCAAGGATGTGGCTGTTGATCTCGTACGTGTATATAGCGTTTGTGTCTGCACTGTGTGGGGAGCGGTAGTGTAGCGGCCAACACCAGTGACGATTATCTGAATCGGTCCTAGTCTGCCACTTGGTCGACTCGGCCTCAAATGAGTACCTGGCATGGTGTGTAAACATCACCACTGGGGAGACAAAGGCGACTGAGCGTGGTGCTGGCCACCCACCCCCTCGTGTGCTGTGCCGGCCTTCATAAGTGCTAACAGCATTTGCCCCAACAGTCTGTTAAGGCTATATGGGGGGGGGTCTTTGTTTCGTATGCTTATTAGCATTTCTCATTTTTCCAGAACTGGTGGGGATGAGCGGTGCGGAGAGGATCTCGTTCCTGCAGGAGCGCCTGCAGGAGATCCGCACGTACTACCTGTCCCTCAAGACCGAGGTGGCCACCATCGACCGGAGACGCAAGAAGCTCCGCAAGAGGGAGCGCGAGGGTGAGCCCCGTTTACACCCCCATCGCGCACCACATTTACCAACGGCAGCACATCCACTGCTCCACCGCTTGAACTGACTGCAGGACCACATCCAATGCAGCATCTCTTCTTCTGCTGCTGCACCACTTTCACTGCTGCACCACAATGTCAACTGCAGAAAACGTCAAGTGGAGCACCACATCCAATGCAGCGTCTCTTCCACTGCAGCACCACATTTATCAGCCGTGGCACATTAATCCGCAGCAGCACGTGCACCTGCAATACATCATCCACATGAATGTTTATATTTGGTTAAGCAATTATGGCAAAATGGCCTTAACCACGAGGTTTCCTGTACTGTCTGCCAGAGAAAAGGAAAGGGGAGAAGAGAGGGAGTTGAGTTGACGGCAAACAGGGAAATAGTAAAATGCTCGCACTCGCGTGCAGGTGTCTGGGTCAAAGCTCAGCCATGTGGGGGAAGCTCCTCATAAATATGGGTTTGTAAACGCGTGTGCATCTACCCATGTGACACCGCTTTTATATCAGCAGTGCTACATCCACTAGAGCGAGCACCTTCTGCTTGGGGCACCACATGCTTGTGTAAGTGTGTGTGTGTGTGTTTTCTGTTTGTATTAATCCTGCCTTCTTTCGGCAGCTACGAAGTCACTGACGTCATCCGAATCGTGCACAGGATCCCTGTCACCGGCCCGGCCTGCCCTGGCGTTTGAGCTCAGCTCGTAGCCGCGGCGTGTCGTCGCTGGGATATGCGAAAGGAACAAAAAACTCTTTAGAAGTGACCGTATCAAACGACGACAGCAACAACTATATCCATATCTATGTGTGTGTGTGTAGCACTTCGGGTGCGTGGTTCGTTGTTGCCAGAGATGGTTATCAGTGCCGTGGATTCTTTCACGGAACGTGCTGGAAAGTTAAGTTAAGGTTCAGAACAGCCAGTTCATTAAAATGTGACGGTGATAATGCTACGTCTTCATATCGCGCTCATGACGCCGGGGGTGCCACCGGGAGCGCTTTACATCCACGTCTAATTTAAAACATTTGAAAGAGGGGACCCCCCCACCAGTGGCAGCTGTGTCCCCTTGTGGGCACAAGGTGACTTCAGCACCTGGCTTGCAAACGGGCATTAGTCTGCCAAGTATGAGGGCGATGATTGCTTTGTGTAATCCCAATCGCGGTAGGTGGCAGAGATGAATTCAAAAGGGAGCGTTGTTGTGGGCGTCTGTGTACGTGCGTGGTGTGTGTGTGTGCGTGTACGTGTGATGTGTATGCCATGTGCATTCTTCAGAGAAGGTGGTGCAAATAAGCAAACAGCCTTCAGCCAACGACAACCTGTTTCACCCGGTATGAATATGGCTGTCCCAACTAAGAGCGCGGAACAAACGGTGACGCAAAAGCTGTGCAAAGCAAAAAAAAGGCCCCTTTCCCTGGTTAATGCCACTGTGCGAAGGCTTTTTAAATAAAATGTGACATTTTTATCACGGTGGAACAAAACGGCCACGCAAGTGTTTAGTTGGTGCTCTGTCGCCTTCGAAACGTTCCATTGCGAGCGGTTCTTTGTGTTCGTGTGCACCTTTTGCAACTGCCATGTTTGATTTTAGTGGGGGAAAAAAACAAGGCAAAGTGTGTCTTCCTGATTACGGTGTGTTTGTATATGTATACAATATGTAGCTTGGGGTAAAGCGTTATGGCAGCTTCGTAGCCTTACCCGAAGACGAAACTTAAACCAAAAGTGTGCACACTGCGATTTCGGACGGCACCCATGGAACATTTTACACGCATTAAAGTATGGATTCTTATACACTATTTATACCCTAGTATTTATACAAACCAGTCTGGAAGCTAATTATATGAACCTTACATTTCTGAGGCTTACAAATTTGGTTAAATATAGATAGTTTGGGAAATTAAATGACACATCACAAAATCCCGCGTGTTAAATGAAATGCGTTTTGGTTGCTTGATGCACTGAGATTCAGAATTGTTTTAAAAAGTTTGTTGAATTTTTTTAAAATATCTAAAGTGCCACTGACCATTTTGGCTTAGTCTTAATGTGTTGCCTCTTTTGCAATTAAGACCAAATAGCAGAATATTTAACAGAATAGTATTTTTCCCATAATCCATGAGCCTAATGTTCAAAGCATGTGTTTTTATCCTAAGTTCTCAAAGCCATAATTCATCCCGTTGTTTACGTTGTTCCAAAGCTTGGATTTGTTCATTAAAATAACACGCAATTTATCATGTACTGCAGTAGATTGTAGTCCGAACGTATGTAGGCTTTTTTTAAACATGTACTTTTTAATCGTACAGAGTACCTGCTTACAAGTACCGATACTTCACCATCAACCCGTGTGCGTTCGTGTAAGCGTAGGAATTTTGGGGAGTGAAATGGTGACAATGAAGTGCTCATAAGTAGATCAATTAATTTATGAAATTGTATTTTTTAGCAGTTTATTTTTTTGCGGTCCTCAGAGCCTGCTGGGTCTTTTCGCGACGCGTTATTTGAATGCACTGTCGGCCTCTCAGATTCGTAACGACGTGCCGCGTCTTAGGGCATCCGGGTTGGTGCAAGGTGCCATCGGCAAACGAACCTAGTCAGGACACCGCAGCTATTTTGCGAAAACCCAAAACGTTACCAAAAAATAACACACAACTCAGATTGTTTGCATTACCAGGGTTCATTACTACCAACGATGCTTTATAAATGCATCGTTAATCCTTACAAAACCCAAAGTTCGCTGCATTTCAGTCACGGTAAGCCGATAAGGAGTGGCATATGCACGGTCTCTACATTTCTGTCTGGTTTTCGTCGTGTTCTGCTCCGTTGGTGTTACTGAACCATCTCTTGGTTTTATCACCCCAAGGTGCATTTTCCGTTCTTCTACAGGGTCCGGCACTTCGAGTGACTATCAGAACCACACGCCATGCCACCCATCCCTTTTATTATCTGAAAACCGGCCTGAAAGCAATTATTTTGATACGTATAAAAATAAAAACAAAAAAAATTAATTCTACAAAATTTATGACTTGAAAATGTTTCTCTTTCCACGGAGAAATGGTTTGATACATTTATTAAAAAAAAGTTATGAGAGATGTAAATGAACATTTTAACTTGCCTGCGGTGAAATCTACTATAACGCATATTTATTCTAATAACGGTATACGTGTGTTGTTAGTGGTAGGGATTTTTTTCATGATGCTGTGCCGAGTATTATGTGGCTTTTTTCAGGTTCTTCCATGTCTTAGTATTGCATGTCCGCTTGTGCATGAAGCGCCATAGAGAGAGGTGGTTGAACATAGCCGGTTTTCACATCGTGTTGTGGACAAAGCCTGAACTATTCTGACATCAGTTAATGCAAAAAAAAAACCATTGTACTTAATCGATGTGCCCAAGTCATAGTTTTCAAATAAAACTATACTTAATCATACAAAAGATTTCAAAGAGGCCAAGTGGGGTATATATGACTTGTAAATAATAGTTTAAACTAGATTTTTTGTAAAAGGCCGGACGTCCAAGATTGCATTCATAACATATTTATCTAAATGTTGCGTCTGTTTCGATTACGGCATGACATAACAACTGGGGAACTCCCAGAAAACGTTTTTTCAATAAATTGCCTTCCCAGTAAAAAAAATACACTTGCAAAGTAGACACGAATGCAATGGTATAGATTGAGGGCTTTTGTTAACAATTCGAGCAGGCAAAGGCATGAGAACGTAAGGTCGTTAAATTTAGTGGCGAGTCTGTGCTGTATACAGACGGACACGTGCTTGAGATGATGCCTGCAGTGAACAGACTTAAGGAACCGTGGGACGTTTTGATTTTTTTGCAAGCAGGTTTATTATAGCCAAGACAAAAAAAATGTTCACGTTTTTGTACTATCATTGTATACTGTGATTTTGATGGAATTTCGTTGCTAGTTTTTTTTTAACTGGTTTTGGTTCATTTTTTTTCATCGCGTACGATTTTCAGGTCTTTAATGATACAAGCATTTGTTTTCCTTCCATGGTGCGTACAGAAGAAGAGATCCGCAATGGTACTTAAGCCAGACCTTTTAATCTTTGAAAATGCAGTTTGTAAACGAGTTTTAACGGTGCGTGTACTCGAATGAAGAGATAATGGGATTGTTTCATTTGCAGTCGGCGCTTGCCAACATGCTTTCTCATGCCTAGTCTCCCTCATGGGAGATGACAAGAGTGTCTTTATAGCTGATTGTACCATTTCCTCTGAAGCCACGGGCCAGAATTGTGACTTTTGAGCCAATGAGAAAGAAATGTTGTGCCTCTGTAGAATGCGAAGTCGCAGAGTGTTGTGATCCGTTTGTATTTAAAGAGTGGGGGCGGGGGGGGGGAGTTTATATATGGTAGGTGATTGAAACAATACTGTAATTGCAGTGCAATAGGCTTTTGTTCAAGAGAGAATGATATTAAGTCACACATCGTGGGCTCTGGCATATTGTTTGAGCAAATAAAATCAGCAATATGCAGCACCGCAATGTATTTTAAATAAACATGTACAGTATAAACCAGCAGACGATGGACATTTGCAAAAAAAAAACCCAAAACGTTGTATTTTTATGTACATTATGACATATGAACCGAATGTGCATTTGAAACAATCCTTGTTGTAATCAGTGTTTCGACTTTGAATGGTTGCTATATTAAATGTGGTTCGCCCCCCAATGCGACAAAGTAATCAGCTTGGGACGTGTTGTTTTGCTGTCGTTGAGATGAACGCATTAATTTAGTAGATTCTAGTAACGTTTTCTCTGCAGCGTACGACATATTTGTAACGAGCGTAGGTTCATATTAAGCACAATACATATAATTTTTAAAAAATACATACATTTATAATTCCTGCTGTAATCGGGAATAGCTTAACTTATCAGTACACGAAATAAAAAAAAGAACGAGATGACATTGTGTATCGACTCGCGTTTACTCAGCGCCGTGATTCGCTTCCACTTGCCACCAGAGGGCGCCAACGCGATTTCTCTGGTCACCTGGTCCACGTGGATTTGTGAGTGCTCCAGTTGATTTTCAACCAGACGAGTTGTTCAATGACGGCAACAAGAGCATATCTGTCAACCCCTTATCAGTGCCCTACCTTATTACAGACCAATTCAGACCCTGTTAGTCACCCCATGGCATTATACATCTAAACATTCAAACTTCAAAGTCCCATCACAAGGGAGAAACAAACAAATTGACACCTTTTTTGCCCGTATTGAAACGGCTGTACGCCGTACGGACCTGAAAATTCATTTTTCCTGTACAAGAATACGGGTAAACCGTATGGGTTGACAAGTATGCAAGAGGCGCTCTGTTTCCACTCTTGTTTCACATCTGCAATGTATTCTCGCGAAGTTTGACTCAAAAAAATAAATATCTCTACAATCACCCGGAATCAATCGGGTTTGAGCGTGTATAGTGATGGGTTGGGTGGCCACGATGTATCAAAATACGTGCCGTGGTTTTCTACAGGGCCACACGCTGTCAAGACGAGGGCAGTGCAACAACATGTTGTACTGTAGTTTGCTCCCAACGTCTATGCTCCCCGCCCTCACCCCACCCGACACGAACCAGCATGGTGAATGATGGACCAGGCGCGATCAGAATCGGTGTCTTTATTTGTATTGAAGGAATCTGATACGCTGTGAAGCTCGTTTTTCACAGATGTCCAGCACACTGGCGGGTCCACAACGCTACATCGACAAGAAATGCAATAAAGGGTACAAGAGTAAGATAGAGAAAATGTAATCAAACCAATCATGAATATAAATTAAGCGTGGAAGTACAAATTGCACTCGGTACATTCCTGCACATTTGTCAATTTGAGCGCAGGCTGACAATCCGCACGGCGTGGGGAAAGAGGTCTTCGTCCAGCAGTTGATTCACAAAAGGGCCGCACTTTGACACAATGCAGCAATTCGTGCGGTGGTGCGGGCTATGAGCTGTGCATGCTCGCCGTCGACTCTGTTCCGCACCGACCACGGAGGGAGACGCAGACCGGCACCACCACTCCCGTATTTGTGATGCACTCCGCGTTTTAACAATCCCGCCTCCCACCGGGGGTATTTTAACCGCAGCATTTCCGCTCAATGCACGCGGTAAACATTCGGCAGCTGCAGTGAATTTAGTTGTGGCATCGCTGAGCCACGCACACCGACAAGCCCTGACCACCGTTTTTTTTAAACCTTCATCTCTCTCCCGGTTTAACCGAGCTATTGTCTATACAATGAACAAGCAGACACTCCGTCTCATTCACACGTGCCCCCTTCACACGACCAAGCAAGCACCAATACACGAGTGTGTTTTACACATCCCATCGGCTGCACGTTTTCTGAGCAGGAAAGTCTGGACCGGTTTCTGATTTCAATGCCTCGTCAGGCTTGCTTGTACCAAATGCTGGTGAACTGACAGATGTTTATACTGTATATCGGCAAGGATCCTCGCTTAGATACGAGCCCTTAGTTCGATGTTAAACTATAATATTTAGCATTTCACGATAGAGTATGCGTTTAATATGAGCAAGTGTGTGTGACGTTCTGCGTACCGAGGGTGGAATCGCAGTCATTTGTAAACCCGCTGCTGGACGGATGAAAGCCTTCCCTAATGCGTTGTTTGACCATACTTCACCACACTGATCAGTGCGAGTTCGTGAAGGGGGCGGTGGAGTGGTGGGGGGAGGCATGACCAGTGTAGACATGAACTTGCCGTGGCGGGGAATCGAACGCAGGGTATAGTGCTGCGAACTATCGCGAGCAGGCTCCACTGAAGCACTCACCAGGAAAGCCCACGTGGCGTTGACATAATTGACCGAGCGCTCAAAGAAAAATATATTTTTGAAACGACGTCGAAAACGTGGCACTCGAGTACCCGATTCGTGCGGCTAAGATGCGGTGACGGACACCCATCGAAGTTGTGCGCCACGCCGGGTGGGGTTGTCGGGTTTATTTGAACCATCCATCAGACGCGATCAGAGTGAGTTGGGGCTGGTGCGCTCATGCATCTACAATTATTCATGAACTGGTATACGTGCAGCGCAACAGAAATTGGTTGTATGGCACTGCCCACAACTTTGCCTAGGCACGACGCAGACACACCACGGACATAACCACACTTACAAAAGACAAAGATACCCCGTATATAGCCTGCAGACTATAGGGGAAAATGCTGTTAGCGAGCATCTATGAAGGCCGGCACGGCAGACGAGGGGGTGGGTGGCCAGCACCACGCCGGGCCGCCTTTGTCTCCTCAGTGTCGATATTTACACATCGCATCAGGTACTCGTTTGAGGCTGAGTCGACCTAGGGGAGGCACAGGACCGGTTCAGATAATCGTCGCTGGGTGTTGGCCGTAAGCGGGAATCGATCCTTGGTCGCTGGGTTCGTAACGCAGCGCGCTAACCGCTACACTACCGCTTTACACAGCAAAGCTCCCCCGTATAGCCTTAATAGACTGTAGGGGCAAGTGCTGTTAGCGAGCACCTACAGCACACAGACAGACACACAGACAGACACACACAGACACACATAGACAGACACACATAGACAGACACACACACAGACACACAGACAGACACACAGACACACACAGACACACAGACAGACACACACAGACACACACAGACAGACACACACAGACAGACACACACAGACAGACACACACAGACACACACAGACAGACACACAGACACAGACACACACACAGACACACACAGACACACACACAGACACACAGACAGACACACAGACAGACACACATAGACACACAGACAGACACACAGACAGACACACACAGACACACACAGACAGACACACACAGACAGACACACACAGACAGACACACACAGACACACACAGACAGACACACAGACACACACACAGACACACACAGACACGCAGACAGACACACAGACAGACACAGACAGACACACAGACAGACACACACACAGACACACACACGCGCGTGCATCGCGCGGTGACGTCAGGGCGAGGCGCTCCGGCCGACCCTACGTCACGTCTCCTCTCATCCCGAGCGCGAGACGCGCCTTGGCTCGCGAGAGCCTCAACAGCGAGCGGCGAGAGACGAGGAGGGGAGGATTAGACGGCAGGAGTAGCACCGACAACAATAACAACATCAGCAACGGAGACACGCAGACAAAGAGTAGAATACCAATTGCAACAATAGCGACAATATTAAGCATTACAGTCATCATTGCCAGCACCACCACCACCATCGCCTTCATCACAGCAAACACCACCACTTTTTACCATTTGCCCAGTGATGATATTATTATATTAATCTTGGGCTCGTTCGTGTAAGCGAGTGGCTTGTCCAGCCGTTACTGTAAATCGTCACCATCGCCTTCATTAACCCCGTGTATATTTAACGACGGTGATGATTTCTTCCGTTCGTGAGAGATAGCCACCCGTGCATTCATTCACTGCGCACGATCGACAGTTTACATAGACTGCACAACTTAACGCACACACACATACAGACCATTGTGGATAATCACCATGGTTGTACATCAATTAGAAGACACCCACGATTCGGAACGAATAACAACGCATCGGTGTTGCCATAGCCTAATATAAGCGACGATACTACACCGGCATCGATAATAATATCGATATATAAAGTCGGTGGATGACACGGACATCGACCGGACAACACATCCCCGCCGCCGCTGTTAAATCATTCGAGGCGGAGTGTAGCAAGCACGAGGATGTCTTCGTCTCCGCGGAGGCAGTCGTGCTACCTGTGCGACCTTCCCCGCATGCCGTGGGCCATGGTGTGGGACTTCACCGAGCCGGTGTGCCGAGGCTGCGTCAACTACGAAGGAGCCGACCGGGCCGAGCTGGTGATCGGCACGGCCAGGAGATTGCGACGTGCCCACGGACTCCCTGTCCCAGGACCTGATCTCTCTCATCACCACCACCACCATCAACAACATCATCAGCAGCAGCAGCAGCATCATCAGCAGCACCAGCAGCAGCAACATTCAAAAGCGGAGTCGCCCGAAGCTACGGCGGATGGAGCGGAAGCAGCGGAATCAGGACGAGAGGATACGCGGAGCAGCAGCAGCAGCCTTCATCATCAGCAGCAGCAGCATCACCAGCATGCTCAGCAGCAGCATCGGCAGTCGCCAGCTATGATCAGCAGCAGCAATTGCAGCTACGGCGAGGGACGTGGTGCCTTTGTGCTGCGCTATCCCAGCGTGGAGCGCGGTGGTGCGGGTGGTGGCACGACCACCACCACCACAGCCCACCCACGCCAACACCCGCTGCACGGAGCCATGCCTCTGGCGCTGTCTGGATCTGTCGCCTGCTCTTCGTCGACCTCGTCTTCCTCCGTGCCCTCCCCGCACGCACACGGGCGAGCTTTCAGCCACGCTGCGGCCGAGATGGAGGACTCTTCACCCCCGAGGGACTCCAGCTTAGATCAGTCGAGGAGACATCTCCTGCACGCGGCGAACTCGACCAACAGCGGCAGCAGCAACTGCGGTATCAACTCTTCGAGCGCAGCCGCCACCACCATCACCACCACCACCACTTCCCCCTCCTCCTCATCGACTATCCTCTCTGCACAAGCTCCAAGCGGAAGCAACGGCTCTCGCTCATGCTACTCGCTGATGATCAGACGAACCGGCTCTCAAGGCCAGTCTCACTACAACACGACCACCTCCGCCAGCAGCAGTGGCGGTGGTGGCGGTAACGCTTTGGGAAACAGCAGCAGCAGCGCCGGCAGCGTTGGCATCAACCCGGAGATGCTTGTGATCGGCGCACAGGAGAGGACATCGGCCAGGGACAGGCAGAGGAACGCCGAGGTGATGGCCGAGCTCTGCGAGAGCTTGCGCAACCGCGCCGAGAGTTGGGCGAGCAAGCCGGCCACGGTGCGAGACACCTTGATGGCGCTGTCTCGGAGCTCGCCGTTCGAGGTGCGCTTCAAGAAGGACCACTCGCTCGTGGGCAGGGTCTTCGCCTTCGACGCCACCGCCAAGCCGGGCACGGAGTACGAGCTCAAGATCTACATCGAGTACCCAAGCGGCTCGGCCAACGTGTACTCGAGCGCGTCCGGCGTGGCCAAGCAGATGTATCAGGACAGCACCAAGGACTTTGGACGGGGCCTCTCCTCGGGCTTCAAGTACCTAGAGTACGAGAGGAAGCACGGCAGCGGCGACTGGAGGCTGCTCGGAGACGTTCTGCCCGAGTCGGTGAGGTTCTTCAAGGAGATGGTGGCCGGTGACCTCTTGCCGCTGCCCTTCCTGGACAGCAGGTGGCCCGTGCTGCCCTCGGCCCTCTGCGAGCACCCGCGGTCGATGTCCGCTCCGGGTAGGGGCGCCGGCTCACGCAAGCGCAAGTCGTCCGTCCACCTCCACCTCAGCAGAGACGGCAAGATGCAGGCGGGCGGAGACGACCATCAGCAGCAGCAGCAGCGACTGCGGCAGCACTGGCTGATGCAGCCTCAAGCTGACGTCCTCGTCAAGGTGCACGGGTGCAGGACGTCCGGTTCTGGCTCGGCAGGGTTTGGGCAGCAGCCGCCGCCGCCGCCGCCCTCATCAACATCGTCATCCTCATCCCCGCGGCCGAACTGCTCGCCGGAAGTCACCGCGTGCAGCAACCTCACGGCCACCACCACCACCACGAGCACCACCACGAGCACGGGCGCGCTGAACTCGTTCGCTCAGCCCACGATGGAAGACGACGACGATCCCTCGTCGACGCACTCGCAGCAACACGCGGCGTCCACGCGCCCTCAGGGGGCCGGCTCGGAGGCCGAATCCGGAGGCCCTCTGCTCATCATCTCGCCACCGGCCTGGCGAGGCTCCTCCCTGCGCAATGGGGACCAGAGTTCGCCGACCCCCGACGTCGCGTCCCAGGTGTCGCTGCACGGAACGGATCCGTCGGCGCTCACCCCGACCTCCGCTACGGCCTCGGCGGGTGCCACGGGCCCCTTGCACTGCGCGCTGTGTCAGGAACGGCTGGAGGACACCCACTTTGTCCAGTGTCCCTCCGTGGCCGCGCATCGCTTCTGCTTCCCTTGCTCTCGGGGGAGCATCAGGTCCCAGGGGGCGTGCGGCGAGGTGTACTGCCCCAGCGGGGAGCGCTGCCCATTGCTGGGATCGAGCGTGCCGTGGGCCTTCATGCAAGGGGAGATTGCCACCATCCTCGCCGGCGATGTGAAGGTGGAAAAGGAGAGAGACTGAAGATTGAATATTGAAACGTTTTGCTCCTTTGCGCGCGCGGATGACTGGTTTATTAAAAAGCGACGTGTGATAATGTACAGCCCACATTTGTCAATCAATTGCTGGATTAAGCCCCCCACCACCTCATGCTGTATTGGTTGTGCGGGGTTACTTGATCATACTTCACCACGCTGGTCAGTGGGGGTCGTCGGGAGTGCGGGTTGCAGACAATGTACAGCCGTTCGTCAAACTGTTTCTGGACGCAGACTTCTCCCCACTCTGTATCGGTTGTCGGGATTGTTTAACCGTACATCATCATGCTGATCACTGCCGGTTGGTGAATATTGGGGGATGTGGATCCAAGACCGATTTCGGATATCGGTCAGGTCGCTGGATTCACAGTGCAATGTGATAACCGCTGAGCCACTTCTCCACCACCTCGCCGACAAGTCCAATATCCATGTCTGTGTAAGTCATACCATCGGCTTTGGGCTCAGTTGAACCCATATCTGGGTTATTGATATCACGCGCTCGCTTTGTGCAGCTTTGCTAAGGCTTACTTCGTGAGAAGGTAAAACCATGTTTTTTGTTTTGTAAAAGTCAAGGTTTGTTTCCCTACTCAAAACGGATGATAGGGAGGGGGGGTCAGCCCGTGGCTCAGTTTGCGGGCAGCAGTGGCTCGGTGGTTTGAAACGCATGGAGGTGAAACGCTCCCTCGGTTGGCAACGAGACTGTGTGTGGACGCTGGGGGGAAGTTCGCCTAAGCAATTGCAACAAATGGCCACAGACATCAAGGAGATTTTGGGGGAAGAAAAAAAACCGTGTAAAGTCCCCCCAGCGTCCACCCAGTTGTATACACACGACGCAATGGCGCATTTATGTATTCATGTTTGTTTAAAGGCAGTGCTAATTAGGAATGCGGTGATGGGGTTTTTGTTGTTTGTTCATTTGTGCTTGAGCACCACTGCCAACGCAGTCACTTCAAATCATTTTTGTTTATTCCCCCGTGTCTAGTAATGCAGTTATCAGAATCAGTCGGTATATTGGAGGAATCCGATGAGCTGTTAAGCTCTTTTTCGACGGATGCCCAGTTATGGGCAGGTTCAACCCCGACCCTGTGACTGAGGTATTCCCCCAGATCATAAGAGTCGTATAATGCGTTTCTTTAAATTGCGCAAGGTCGTACGAATTCGGGGAAAGAGACGATCGGAGGATATTCCAAAGCAAAGCAGATATCGGTGAACAAGAGCTTCATGGCTCATCGGATTCCTCCAGGATAAACACAGATTCTGAGAAGCAGAACGAGCAGAGGTGTGACCTGCAGGGTGATGGTGGTGGTGGTTGAACGCAGTGTGGATGAGACGAAACAGTCCGGCTGACAGACCGAGTCCTCAACGTGGGTGGAGGAATCAAGGTGCGAAGTTCGCGTGAACCGCACCCACGGTAGTAGCCATAGAAGCGTTACTGACAAGGGGGGTGGGAGAGACTGGCGTCGATGAGTGTGACGAGAGTGCAGCAGTGAGTGCCGACTCGGGCCAGACGAGAGCGAGAGTCGTGGGTCGGGGTAGAGTTGGGCGCATCCAGGAATTCATGGACTCACCCTGCTGGTCCCTTGCTCCCCATGCCGTACTCGTGTCAGCGTGCTGGGTGACGAGAGGTGACACGTGCTGGCCACGCTAATTGACAATGCGATATGAGACAGCGGCGTAGCTTGCTTGGTAGGCAATAGGTCCTGGTGCCAGGATTTAAATGACCCCCCCCCCCCACCACACACCCCACATCACTTTTTTCACCCAGAACCTGGACCCCCCCCCCCCCCCACACCGGCACGTGAGTTCCCGGTGCAGTTGCACCGCCGGCGCACTCAACAGCTAACGCCGCTGTAGCTGCATGTACGTGTGTGTGTTGGACTTCTTTCGCACCGTACGTAGGCAACCGTGCTGATCGTCGGTGCGAAATTTCACTTCATGCAAATCTATGTACTCTCGATGATACTCAATTTCACACACAGAGACAAAGCTCTCTCCCCTGTAGCCTCCAATAGGCTGTTGGGGCAAGTGCTGTTGCCGAGCACTTACGAAGGCTGATACGACAGAGGAGGGGGTGGGTGTCCAGAACCACGTCCGCGGCCGCCTTTGTCTCCATCGTGGCGATGTTTACACATCGCACCAGGTACTCGCTTGAGGCTGAGTCGACCTAGGGGAGGCCCACGAGCGGCTCACCGCTCCCCATAATTCCATGCAGACACAACGAAGACGACATCCTCACGCGCGCTCAATTGTAAAGTGGCACTTTACCTGTCCCCCTCCCCACCCCCAAAATGTGAGCGATATAACGGTATATATGGTGCTTCATGTACACACGTATTCATAAAGGCTGCAGTGCCCTACTTACAACGTTGTAGTGTACAAAATATATATATATAAACCGAGTTGGGGAAAACAAAGTATGTGTGTGATATGTAAGTGCATTGGGAAAATGTTCACAAACCACGTGGCGGTATTGAAATACATACACGGGAGCTTTGTGTCTGTGATCATTCAAATGGGCTGGCTCTAATTAACGTTCTTATGCTAATGTTGTTAATTATTTAAATTAATTACCCGTGTCTGTCGGGTTATAGTGATTCGTCACCTCGCCAGCACTTCCACGAAACGTTTGCGATTTGTTTCAAGAATCGATTCGGGTTTGTTTTTTTCCTCCCTCCATGAACATTGTGGGCGAATGTAGCGGCCCCTAGTGGCTGGAGAGGATCACTTGAACCCAATAAATACCAATGTATACGAATCGAAAAAAAACATCGATTACTGCACAAGAGATACGACATATGGTGAAATCGATAGTTATCGATGGATTGCGTAAAGTATTTACACCCACCACTGTTCCGTTACTTTTACGAATACATCAACAGACGTGCTCACGATTGAGTGCAGTGTACAATACAGCCCTTTTGTTGTCAATCCACTGCGGGATGAGAGTCTCTCCACGCCGTTGTCGGTCGTGGCACTTAGTTCGACCACACTTCACCGCCGCTTGGAGCGCAGTTCGAGTCGACAAAACAGCTGGGACCCAGGACGGGTTCAGGTAGCGCTTGCCAGCTGATGATGTTTAGCCGTGGCAGGGAATCCAACTCGGGTTTCGAAGGGATCGTGTACCGCAGGAGCGATAACTACCGCAGTACGTATTAAATAATCGAATGCACTCGTGAGAACAACCTTCACAACGTGGACAAACAGGCGCGTCTCGCTTAACGAGCGTTCGTTGTTTTACGAGAATTCGCCATTACGAGCAATTTTCGCGGAACGCATCTCGCCCGTTGAACGAGACGCGCCTGTGCGGAATTGTGTTTCGTATGGGTTGCGCGCACCGTGATGTCTGTGGCGAGTTGATGGGACTTGATTTACGGTCCCATTGTTGTACATTTCTGCACGAATCATCACAACACACGCATTTGCTAAATGACGTCGACGTGTCGCTGTTTTATTTGATGGATCTTACGAACGAATGACTGTTAAGCCGAGCGATTCTCATGTTTGTACAATACCTTGTTTTTATTTGTAGCGGTCGCCAATGTTGTGTTTTGTTATTTTAAATTGTCAGTGTGTGTGTGTGTCTTGAGAGTTAAATTTGATATGTTGTTTTTGTTCATGATTTCAGAAGCATTGCTGTTTACACGTTTTCTCCTTTTAACGACGATGTTTGGTGCCTTGGAGATTTTTAAAAAAAGAATAATAAACATTTACCAGCCTCCGTTATCCCTTGTGAATTATTTTTACCGTCTGATATAGGCCACGCTTCCACGTATACTGTACAATAACAAATAATACGACTAATTACATCAGAGCTGTAATGTGCAGGCTCATTGTTTCCAAAACTCCAGACCACCTCCCCCCATCTAATCTGTAGAGAGAGAGCCGATCCAAATTAAGATTGATAGGTCAGTGCGTGTGTGAGCACGTGGTCCACGTGTTCGACGCAGACGCAGCGTTAACCGCGTCGCGCGCGTCACGTGGGAACGTGTTTAACAAGCATCGGGCGCGTGCAGCGTGGAACGACTGTAATTTGTATTTCATTGACAGCGAATTCGCTTGGAAGCTGAATAGACCTGTATCGTCATGGGAGACTGCTATGGAATATCATTGTTATTGGCTTAGGCTGAGAGGAGAACAGCAGATGGTAGTAATACAGAAGTTGATTTTGGAATCTATTCGCGCGGAGCATTGAGTGTCCCACCCCTTCAATTCCCGCTCCCTCCCCCCTTCCCCTATGCATCGGTGGGTTTTGTTCTGGGTTCTAACGTATTGCTTCATTTGCTCATATCATTAAAAAGGACAATTGCATGTAAAGACTTGAAGATAGTTCGCAGTGTATTCCAGCGCACTAGAAACTCTGCAGCGTGCATGCGTTACACGCGCACTCCACAGAGAAGGCTGCAATATGCGAGCGATTGAATCCTGGCATTTGCAAAGCCAAGAGTGGGCTGGGGGGAGGCTTCCAGACTTCCAAGGATGCTCGACTTTCTGCTGACCTCACCGCCACAAAGAATGCCCCCGTTGTGTTTATAACCTCATGCTTGGCAGCTCAAGTGGCAGAAGGACACCGCTTGCATGCAAGTCAGCGAGCGCACTTGCACACTCACTCGCATTAGCGGACATTGCTTCCCAAATGTACAACGCAGACACATCTTGAATGACTGGGGAGGATGGTTTGGCGGAAGGGAAAATGTGAACATTATAATAATCATCAGCATCCACGGTCCATCCGCTGCTGGATTAGACGCCCACCTCTTGCACGCATCCGCCAGACACTCCCAGCAAGGTATTAGTTGTAACAGGAATGCTCATCATGTCGCAATATATCAGCAGCAGTAAAAGCATCACCAGCATCACCAGCAGCAGCATTACGAGCAGCATCAGACATGGCAAATCCACTGTTGAATGAATTCCCCCAAGAGCCACCACTACTACCTCTTTGGAAATATTTGGAGAGAAAAAAATCAATTTTGATTGCATCTTGAGATGCAATAATCTACTTAGCACCTGCACACAAACTGATTTCGTCGCTCCATCTCCTTTGCGGATGTGCTCTCGGATGCGTTCCACTCGTTCAGAAAAGACAAGATTGTCTCTAGACACCAAAAAGTGAAAATTTACTTTTTTTAGTCCAATAGTTGATCGGTCTCTCTGGATTTGGATTGTGTACGATGGGGTAAAGACGTCTGGCCAGTATGGAAGAGTAGGCCAAAGTACGCTCCAGAATCCATTTCCATAACTCCCCCTCCTCCGGTGAGGGGTTCGCTCTCGCCCTCTCTCTCTAGTGGAGGCCCTTCCGCCGACAGTAAAGAGAACCAGACATTGCAGAGCTGCACCTTCATGGTTTATCAAGCGACTTTTGCTGGTGTTTGGTATCGGGCTGCTCTGTGCTTTTGCATCACAACTCCTCGGGAATCTCTCGGTGATCTGATGACGGGGATTGTATATTTCTGATGACGGGGATTGTATATTTCTGATGACGGGGATTGTATATTTCTGCACGTGTTTCGCAGGAGACGTGACACCATGTAGGCCGTTGGGTTTGGAATTCGTGGGAGATCCTAATTCGAGGAAAAATACTTTCGAAATGTTCTCATTGTGAGCACACACAACAATGAGAAGGGCCAGTGCCCGAAACGACGTCTGTGATATTATTTTCCTGTTAAGGCAGGGGTGCCGCTGGTGGCGAGATATTAACTGTTTCCACTGGTATACAGGAGGTCGTGGGTTCGATCCCGATTCCGATCCCGACCCTGTCGCCTGCTGCTGCTGTATATTTGAAATTTGCGATGTCTCTCTCCCCGTGGTCGCGTGGATTTCTCTCTGGTCCCTTCGGGGTTTCCCTCCACATTTAGTAACACGCGTTTAGAGCATTTGGCCGATATACATTTCCACACGCAAGGCCACTTAGTATATCTATCATTTGTGATAGCCAGATCGCTTCTGAAAAAGAACTACATAGCTCTGTGGGCCTTACCTGGTTAAAACAAAGAAGGAAACGGTTTAGTTTTTGACGAATGTGTTGCATCGTTGTGTGTGCTTGTGTATCACTACCAATGCATGGTCAATAAACAAATGCTGTCTAGCCCTTCTACAACATCACTACATCAAGCCATCACTCAGTCGCGATATTCATCATTTCAGCCCGGAATTACCTCGGTCAGTGGCCCAAAATACATATATTTACGCACCCGGCATATCACATCAAGTATCAATTTCGCTACGGCCCGTGGCTACTAAAAACCCGTGCCACTTTATACTCTGGTTCTACCAGCCAAGGAAAAATTGCAGACACGTTCGCTGTCTGTGTGCATCAGCTATGCACGCAGGCGCGTCACGGGCTCACGTGGATACTAAGAATTCATGCAAACAATTCACTGCTAAGAATTCCTCGCCGACCTCCCACCCTCTGTCTGCTGATTGTGCACATTTTTTAAGAGGCACCATTCTCCCGAAGCGGTAAATCCACTGTATGGGGCGTTGTGTGTTCCCACCCCTCGGGAGGGAAGAGCAAGCGAAGAGCGAAGGGCAGAGAGAGGGAGAGAGAAAGAGAGATGCGTGGATTTTAGAGACGGGAGATGGTGGAGAGTTATGCATTTATGTTGAACTTCTTTCGCGCCGTACGTAGGCAACCGTGCTAATCGTCCTGGGGATGGGAGGAGTGGTGGCGCAGGCAGACTTGGGGAGGCGGGAGATGATGGAGAGCTGGCATGAGGGTTGGTGAAGAGATGCATATGGTGGATGGGTGGGGATGGTGGTGGAGAGACAGACGCGAGGGTGGAGAGAGACGGGGAGAGGAAGATCAATGTAGACGGGTAAGCATAGAAACGGGAGGATGTGGAGAGAGAGAGAGAAACGGAGGGGTAGAGAGACGGGATATTGTGATGGAAAGAGGGAGAGGGGGAGGGGAGAGCAAGAGACGAGAGCGAGACAGGAAGACACCCCCCCCCCCCCCCCCCAGTGAGTAGGCAGCACCAGTGGCCACACTATATTAGTATGACCCGATAAAGCAATTTCACCGTGTACTGTACGGGGGGGGGGGGGGGCACAGACGCCCCGTGCGTTCAATAAACGGAGCCGCGCGCGTCGTGAGCTGATTGCGCGATGACTTTGCAGGACTCCAGCGGGCATGCGTGGGATGCTTGCTGCTTGCTGCTGCGTCGTGCATGCCAAAGCGATCCCGTCGCCAGCACGCACCGCCCCGCCGCTCCTCACAGCTGTCTGCCTGTCCAGCAAAAGGGGGCTGCTTTAACGTGCAGTAGATATCGTGTCAGGCGGAGCGCCGTTTCACGCAGTTATTTTCGGCATCCAGAGACATCCATCTCGCCTGATTTTGTGATCATCTGTTTTTTGTATGTATACTGCATGTGTGTCTGCAGGATACACATACATATGCTCGCCGGATTATAAAATAGGAATATGGTTATATAGTTATATATATATGTATTTGTAGGGTCATCATCAGCATCGTCACGGTGCATTGCCACATAGCCCGTCGGTGTCCACTGGGCATCTCGTCACGTGTTTCCACTCGCCTCTGTCTTGTGCCAATAATATAGCGTGCAATGATATATATATATGAATGGTATGGGTGGAATAGGCGTGTCTCGTGCTATAGTGATAGTGCCTTACGCCGATAATCCATACTCCACGCTAGCCTAGCGGCGTTCCGGGAATTATTGAGTGAGATATTAAGTCCTGGGGATATCGACGCGCAGGGTAATGTTTTAAATACGAGCTAAAGGTGCAGCCCTGCACTTGCTAGCTCACGCCCCTGCTGGTGGAAGAATCCCTATGAGAGCGAGCTCTCAAGTGCCCATCTAAAATTTCATTAAAGGTGGAATTTAATAAAAAAAAAATTTGTTAAAAAATCAAATGAATGTTTTCATTGACGTTAAAAAAGGGAGCACCGTTGAGTTATCACGCCTCTTGCAATGATCATGATAACCAGTGAGCACTCGATTATCCGTCATCATTTTATTATCTGCACCTGACAAATCGCATTTATATTAACCACATGTCGAAAAAAAATATTCCACGTCAAAAACTATCAACGTAAAAAAAAATGGTTCGTTATTTAATTACATATTATGTCTGTATCTCTCAATCAGACATCCTTTTGATGACATACCAACAGTCAATATGAAGATCATCGACATCATTAACATCTTCTTCATCATCACTATCACCATCCTAATGACGATCAGCAATCACTCAACATCATCTTGGTGATCCAAAAAAATAAACAAAAACCCGAGAGTGATCATGAAGCAAATTCTGCACGGGAACAAAACTCCCAAGGAATAGATAAATGAGCGGGCACTGATAGCACTCAGTCTGCAAGTGGCCGAGAACGAACGAGACCTCGACTCCTGCACGGACACGCGCCGGCCCTCCCTGTGCCCAAAGCGCGGCTCTCTGTCTGTCTTGGCACCTGGCACCGGAGTGCGCTGAGATCCCGCTGAGATCTCGCCTGAGTGGTGACCTCAATTCCAGGCGCGCGCGTGCGCGCAGAGCTGCGACTTCGGCTCGCTTCATCCGGCGCCACGTCACTCTGTGCCACTGCGTGCGGCCGGCACAGATAACGTCTGGAATATGTAATAGCCTGGCTGCCTGCCTGACTGCCTGCCTGGCTGCCTGGCTGCCTGCCTGGCTGCCTGGCTGCCTGCCTGG